CAATGGAGATCAGGTACCGATTCGCAAGTCAAGTCAAGCTCGCCGAGTCAAGCTTTAGACTGTTTACGCTATTAAAGTAAGGAGTAATAGATGCATCTGTGTGATTGTAACTACTTGTGTGCGTGTAATTTAAAGTTGTTTTTAATTATTTTATAGTGTGCATAGCAACTTGATTTAAAAATGCGTTAGTGTTTACGTTGTTTTCTGTGTGCGTGCCCCGTCCCCCGCTGAAAACGGCAAAAAGATTTGTAATTTTGTATAGGAAAGACAGTGGGCTACTCCGCATGGTTTTATGCTCTAAGGTCTCAATACCCTAAATGAGTGAATTCAATGTTGGTGACATCTTTTGATACGTCTGTAATACAGTTGTAGTAATAGATAAACCAAAATTTTTGCTGTTATCCATTAAGACGGGCGTCTCAGTCAAAAACTGTATTTAACTGACAAAAACTGACGTACATATGCGGAGCCCCCATATTTAATTATAAAATAGAGATGTTTAATAACTTTTCTACACAAATAAATAAAATTAAAGTGTCTGTTCGTAATGTCAAAATAAAAGTTTTTTTCATGCTTACACGGTTATTTGTACGATACCTATGCCTAAAAAGGCAGTTTTTTTTGTTTGTCTGTCTGTTTGCTCTGGGTAATCTTCTAAACGGCTGGACTGATATTGATAATATTTTAATACCAGGCAGCTGTCTACATAAGGAGTAACTAAGGCTATTTTTCGTCTCAGAAAAACCCTTTAAAATTTTGCCCGGTCCGAGAATCGAACGCACTAAGGACGTGTAAGGATGTGTTTCATTCGAATTATAATCTCTCGTATGACAAATTCTGGTAAAATCGGCAATTATGGATTGCAGAACAGCACAATATGTTGAAAGGTGACACTAAATTATTATTCATAGAAAATAAAATACTCGCAGCCTCTTTTTTTCGTAAAAACCGTCATGGAGGTGCCTGTATTTTGGTTCACAATAGTCGTGAATTTAAAACCTTAAATTCTATAGAAAAATGATGCGTTTCGGGTATAACTGAGTGCTGTGCCATAGAACTTACATTACATTGTCTAATAGTAGTGTGTACTTACAGACCACCTCAAACAATACCAAAGTTTTGATCACTTATTTGCTATACTTAATATCATTCTTGCTGCATTGTGCTTCACACAGAAAAAATCGTCATATGTGAGGATTTCAACATAAAATCTTTAAAAAAGAGCAAAGTGACTAACATGCTAAACCTGCATGTAAATGAGCCAACACTCTTGCATCAACTCTTGTTTAGATAACGTTATACACAATATTAGGGCAAGTAAATACAAAATTTACGAATCTGCTCTGTCTGATCACTCAAGCCAAGTGTTAACTTGCAATGTCAAAAAAAATAGTTCTCTGTCACATTGGTTTATAAAGAGAAGAGATTACAGTAAAGAAAACATGAAAAAATTCAATAAATCAATCAATGGTGTCATCTTTTGGGGTAACACTGTGGAGAGTGATGTAATATTTAGAGCCCAAAAGAGGTGTGTAAGAGCCATTGTGAATTTAAAACAGACGGACAGTTGCAAACCAGATTTTATTAATCTGAAACTATTAACGCTTCCATGCCTTTATGTATATGAGGTAGCCGTTTTTGTTATTACACATATTCAGGGCCGGATTAAGACAGTTCGCGGCCTGTAGCGAATTCTATCAAGGGGCCTTTGGGTTGTTTTAGGTTATTTAGTTTATGGTATTCATCATCATCATCAACAGCCTATAGTAGTCTACTGCTAGACATCAGCCTCAACACCTCATCTCCTTAAAAAGGAGGTTTTTGTCTGCTATACCACGCTGGCCAGGCGGGTTGGTTGCACCCGCCCCCCTGGCGCCTCAATCGTGGTCAACTCGGTCCTCATACCGGTTCGGGCCCAGATGAAATATCTGGGCCTGATCCTCGACGGGAGGTGGCTCTTCGACGAGCACTTCCGACAGCTTGCTCCAAAGCTGGTCGGCGCTGCGTCTGCCCTAGGGCGACTTTTGCCCAATTTGGGTGGACCACCTGGCGTCACGCCTCTGGCGCCCTCAGAGGGTAATGGCGGTCAGAGCCATACGCGGTTACCGCACCGTGTCGACGGAGGTGGCGTGCTCGTTGGCCGGAACTCCCCCGTGGGATTTTGAGGCGGAAGTGCGCGCCGACGTTTATCGGCGAGTGGCTGGCTCCCGGGCGGAGAGCGGATTTCGCCCTCCGCCCGAAGACGTGCGCGAGTGGCGCGAAGCCGCTCGCCGAGCCACGATGGCTCGTTGGTCGTTCCGGCTGGAGACTCCACGCGCTGGCTTCGCCGCCGTGGAGGCTCTCCAGCCGGTCATCGCCGAGTGGGCAGGGCGGCAGCATGGGACCCTTACCTTCCGGCTGACGCAGGTGCTTTCCGAGCACGGTTGCTTCGGAAAGTACCTGCACTCGGTCGCTAGGAGGGAACTGAGTCCCGCCTGCCACCACTGCGACTGCAGTGAGGACTCGGCCCAGCACACGCTGGCGGTCTGCCCCGCATGAGCGACGCAGCGCCGAGCTCTCACTGCAGTCATCGGAGTGGATCTCTCGCTACCGGCCGTAGTACGCTCCATGGCCGGTAGCGACAGTTGTTTTACCGCGGTCGCAACCTTCTGCGAGGAAGTAATCTCGTAGAAGGAGGCGGCGGAGGCGCGCCTATCACCGCCTCATGCCGCCCTGAGTGTGGCCGCGGGTGGACGGGGTGGGTTTCCCCTCCACCCGCATTAGTTTGGCCAGCCGCGAGGGGGCGGCGTCCGCGTGTGCCGGACGTCGCCTAAAGAGAGGAAATAATTTTTGAGATGGAGCCCGCAACAGGAGCGGGCCGGCGCTAGGAGGGGCCCGGATGTCTTAATAACAGCTGTTCCCGGATCCCTCCTATTACAGGCGCAGAGTGGCACACCGTGTGGTTTTAGTCGGTCCGAGTCCGACACACCACCCCGCCGCAAACCCCGGTGGGGTGACGGTCCGAGGGGATTTCCACACGTTAAAAAAAAAAAAAAAAAAGGTGGCCCTGGGTAAGACGGAGGCCCTCTTATTTCTTGGGCCTCGTCGTGGTCCACCCCCTGGCGCCTCAATCGTGGTCATCTCGGTCACCGTGGCTAATCCGCCACTGCACATATTTCTTTATTTGAGCGCCGATAGAGTAAAAGTAATAATCACAATATGTTTTCCATCGAACAAACAGCGAATACATAGCAACAGCATATTTTGTATAACGCCTGGAGTGTATAATCATTTATTTATTTACACTTTATGCACAAATGTGACACAGGCGAATTTAATGCCGTAGCCCGTAGGCATTTTCTCCCAGTCAACCTTAGGGAGATGCAGAGTTAAAACATGGTAGATGCACAAAAAATAAATAAAAAATGGGATTTTATGAAAAATATAGCATATGTAGAATATCATACACCCAGAGTACTTAGATTAATTACATTAGTATAATTTTTAATAAATAATATACATACAATAAATAATAATGATACTAACACACACAATATTAGATGCATATATTGAGATTCTTTAACATAGATCAGTTTAAAACGCCATTGACGTAATTTCGTGTTGATACATATAACTACTACAGTGTAAAAGAATATCTCGAAGACAAATATGAAATCGAATAGTTTACTGATGCATGGCTTATAACTAAATAATAATAATAACGCTTTATTGTACACCAGGTATAAATATTTAATAATCAACCTAAGCTAGGTTAGACAAGTAGAAATGGTGGCCTTATCGCTTAGAGGCAATCTCTTACAAGCAATCGTGGTATGGAGAGAAAACATGAAGAAGGAAGTATAGGGTAGTGGCTGGTGTATTAGGAAATAGATAAGACGATATATATAAAAGAAAGTGATAGTTACACATAGTACCTATTTGTTGTACTTTGGTGAGTATATAACGTACCTATTAGAGGGAATATACTATGTGCAGAACGAGGTTACTGGTGTTATTAGATACATATAATTAAATAAATGCGTTTGATTCATAAGTACCAAATACATATTTTATATGCAAGCTTATTGAGTGAGTAGAAAGTTAATAAATTATGGGGCATTGATGTCTGTCAGGTAATATTCTTTTACTTGCTTTTTGAAGGAAGCATATGTTTGTGCACCGATTGCGACCGGTAGGGCGTTCCGCTTGTACAGAGAAGGAGACGTCGAGGAATTTAGTGGAATGTCCCACTAATTTTAGTTTCAGGTTCGCTGAAGACCTCAACAGTTTGTAGTGTGTGTCATTTAAGAATCTAGACCGAGATTTGAGGTAACGTGGACTGAAAGGATTAAAAAGAATATTGTAGAGAAGAGAAACAATATGTGCATTCCGATGAAGTCAAATGGGTAACCACTTGAGCTTTTTGCGATTCAGAGACATGGTCATATTTGCGAAGTCTAAATATGAACCTTATGCGGCGATTTTGGAGTCTCTCAAGTTTAATCGATTGGTCTTCAGTAAGATCTAGATACCTGGCATCTGCATAATCAAGGATGGGGAGAAGAAGTGATTGTGCAAGAGCAATCTTGGTTGGAATAGGTAGAAAGTTGCTTAAATAGACTTACATAATAAAAACAAAAATAATTATGTGTTATGTGTGTGTTATGGATTACTTCAAATTAATTGATTTGTGAACTCTGTGTATCTGTGTGAACTCGAATTACAACTAGAGCATAGTTGATTTTCTGCAACTACTGTTCGCTTCTGTTTGCGTCGATTTGGGAGTTGACAAGTTTGACAGCTGCGACTTTCAAATGACACAAACTTTCATGCTCACTTGTAATTGGTAGCACAGAGTACATTGGTAGTGCCTAGATTTTTGGAACAGCGATAGTAAATAAAAATATTTTTAGAATACTGCGGGTATGCGAGTGGTCTCGGGCGTGGACATGAATCTATAATGAGGAATCCAAGTAGTTAGTACAGTTTTTGTTGAAAAGTGCATATTAGTGATAAATAAGATGAGGACTCGTAGTAATTCAGGAGTGCGATTAGATTATTACCAAAGAATAGTGCACAAGTTAATTTTAGACCATCAGCAGCCTGTAACTGGTTTATTTCCTGCTAGTCCCCACAATGATCACGCCTGGATCAGGGACAATCTCTATTGTATATTGGCGGTATGGGGATTATCCATGGCATTTAAGAAAATAGCAGATCAAGATGAAGATCGCGCCAAAACATATGAATTGGAGCAAAGCTGCGTCAAATTAATGAGAGGTATTAAAAGTTTTGTGACCAGCAATACAATTTTGTGTTTATTTTTACATATAGGTATATCACTACACTACAGTGAATCATAATATAATCCATTTATTGTATCTCAATGTGAATCAAAACCATCAAAGCCTCACAAAAATACAACAATTAGATGTTTTTTTATGATTAACAGTGTCCAAGTTTTGTGATTGTTTCTTTATACTCCAATTGTGTATTATGTCTGTTTATATTCTTTAATAAATTGATACAATTTTCAGGTCTCCTCATGGCCATGATGCAACAAAAGGAGAAAGTTGAGAAGTTTAAAAGTACTCAACATCCAATGGATTCTCTCCATGCTAAATATTCTTCAACTACTGGGCGCACAGTAGTTAAAGATACAGAATGGGGACATTTGCAAATTGATGCAATTTCCCTGTATCTCCTTGTACTTGCTCAAATGACTGCATCGGGTCTGCAGATTGTTTTCTCACTAGATGAAGTAGCATTAATACAAAATCTAGTATTTTATATTGAATCTGCATATTGTACACCTGATTATGGTATTTGGGAGAGAGGAGATAAAACTAACCATGGATTACCAGAGTTGAATGCTAGCTCTATCGGTATGGCCAAAGCAGCTCTGGAAGCTATGAATGAACTAGATCTCTTTGGAGCTCGTGGAGGACCTTCAAGTGTGATTCATGTTCTTGCTGATGAAGCTCAAAAATGCCAAGCTGTACTGCAATCAATGCTTCCAAGAGAATCAAACAGTAAGGAGCTTGATTCTGGCCTACTATCCATAATAAGTTATCCAGCTTTTGCTGTTGATGATCCAAACTTAATTACCTTGACAAGAAATACTATTGTGACTAAATTGCAAGGAAAATATGGGTGCAAGAGGTTCTTGAGAGATGGTCACAAGACACCTAGAGAAGACCCAAATAGACTTTATTATGAACCTTGGGAGCTGAGAATGTTTGAGAACATAGAATGTGAATGGCCATTGTTCTTCTGCTATCTTATAATGGACTATTGTTTCCAAGGAGACAAAACCAATGTTACGGAGTATATGCAGAAGTTAGAAAAGATTATGATAAGAAAAGATGGAGGAATGCCTTTAGTTCCTGAGCTATATTCTGTTCCAGCAGATAAGGCTGACTTAGAACATCATGATCCTGGAAGTCAAGAGCGAATACCACTGGGACGGTGTCCATTTATATGGGCACAATCATTGTACATTTTAGGGAAATTGTTACAGGAGGTAAATATTACTTTTTGTTCAATATTTTTTCTGCTAAACACAAGACTTTTATTTACCTTCGGAATTCAGCTTCATGGATATTTGTTTCATTTAAAACATTACCATTTAAAATTTAATTAAAGTATTAATGACATAAACATAACATCTTTTATGTGTTATATAGATATAACACATAAAAGATGCATTACATAAATGTAAACGTAACAATTTGTATTTGTATATATTATATTATAAATAGATTCTAAATGTTATTTTTTTGTTATAGGGCTTCCTAGCAGTGGGTGAACTTGACCCTCTTAACAGGAGGCTGTGTTCAGAAAAGAAACCTGATGTAGTTGTTCAAATTGTGATACTAGCCGAGAATAATGAAATTAGAGATAAACTTTTGGAATATGACCTGCATGTACAGACAATTAGTGAAGTAGCTCCTATCGAAGTGCAACCGGCAAGGGTTCTTAGTCATTTGTACACATATTTAGGTAATTTAAAAATATAGGGTACACAATTATAAGTCATTGACCCACTCTCTTTGTAAATATGTAAATGTGTAGTTTGACATTAACACTGTATATGACTGATAGCATTTTTTACAGTTATGCTTATGTACTATTTAACTTATATTTTCCAGGTAGAAATAAAAAATTGGGCTTATCTGGCAGAAAATCACGAGATGTGGGTATCCTTAGTACTAGCAAGTTGTACTCTTTAAACGATCGTATATTTGCTTTTACACCCCAAGTAAGTTACTATACATTTTTTACTTTCTTTCATATAGTGTGCAGATAATGTATGCAAATTAGGCTGTTCTAGTTAAGGGTATCCTAAACCCTGTATATTAGCACTGTGATTATTAGTTGAGATAATTTTTGAGCCTTAAAACTTTTTAGGTTAAATACTTTTTTCTGTAATTTACTGATGGCAACCCTAATTTGTATAGATTAATTTTATCCATTATTTAGAACTTCTTAAATTACCATGTAATTTAAATTAGTATAGTCGTCTTTCTTTTTTTATTTTAATATTTCGTTATACTGAATTCACAATTTAATTTGCTAGTTTTCTGATATGACCCGTTTCTACATCGCTTCTGACTTTGAACTGATGGTTGATACACTTAAAGCCGAAATAAATTTCTTGAAATCTGCTTGGCAAAACCTTCTTGGAAGACCGCTTGTTGTCTTGGCCGTAAACCACTTAGGTATTGTTTGTTTTATTTATTTTTGTAAAAATGTGCTTGCTGGTTTGACCATCCATTTTTGTATCTGTAAAATTATTCATCCTTGAATGGTATGTATACCTGAGTTTGGTTTCTAGTGATTGAATTATCTTGGTTGGTTTTCGAGTTCACATAGTAATACAACCAAGTAGTTTAGTTATAATTGATTAAACCACTACTGACACAAATAATTTCAGGCAGATTTATTCAAAACCATTACAGTGTAATGTACAATATCTCAAAAAGAAGTTTGAATAAATCTTCTGTCCGGACTAGACTCTTCTAGAAATTATTTCTTTTAATTACATCATTTTTGCGGCAGTCATTTGAATTTTTACATAGTACAAAATTAAGTCGCTTTTTTGTGATGTATGCTTACATCTGTTAAACTAAGCAACGGATTTTAATGCGGTTTTCACCAATAGAGAGAGTGATTCAAGAGAAAAGGTTACATGTAATATACATGCATATTATAGTAGTAAAAAAGCCGAGAATTTCAAAGATTTGTCGTAGAAACATGTTTTTGTGAGCTTACTTTGCACACGCTGGCTAAACCTTACGAGATAGACCAAAATAATGTACTATGGAATTTTATATCTTAAAAGGTTCTACAAAAAGTTCTCGATAGTATATGTCTTATCTCCTAAGAATAACCAACATTAACCATTTCTATCTTATAAATATTACAAAAAAATAATGGGTTATTTACGAAGCTATTTAAAACAGTACATTGTTATTCCTTATCTAATTATTTACGTTACGTGCATTTTATGTAGATAAAAATTGTTCTTTATAGCATATCATTAAAATTAATATTTTAGAAGTTATTAGAGATTTAAAATGCGGGGTCCCGGGTGGCAGCGGCGGGCAGGATGGGAGCCAGCCCATAAATATTGTATTTAACGATGTCCTGTAGTATAATCCTATCATAATAATAGTATAGTTAATTACTCCACACTGACACCCCATTAGTAGTATCTACATTTCACCCGTGCGAAGCCGGGGCGGATCGCTAGTTGAAAAAAAGGTACTAAACAAAAACATCTGCATCAAATTATAAATCTACTGTCGCCCGCGCCGTTTTTGGTTCCCGTGTATCTCCGAAACGTGAATATGTCGAAGAAGCTCATTTTTAAACACAAAAACTCATATCTGATAAAATATAATATCTGAAAATATAGTGTCGCTCCCTTTTTTGTAGGATCTTTTAAGGCGGACCAGGTTTCCATACATTGTTTTCAATTTTATGCTATGTTGACTGTTTAGGGAGAATAGGGAGCGTATGCTAATAATTCTGTTATAAGGGGCATAATTTCCCGCCTTGTTTGTCAAAAAATGTGGTAGCTCGGCTAATATGGACGGTATGAATAAAATTTATAGCCTATACTCAGGGATAATGCAGCTATATATTAGTGACAGAATTTTCAGAATCGATTCAGTAGTTTCAAAGATTACCTCCTACATACAAACGTACACATTTAAATTGTACCTCTTTATAATATTGGAATTGACTACACAGATGTATTCTGTAAGTTCGAGGCTTCAAACTATCTGGCAGTAGGCTATTGGAGTTAAAAAAATGCAACCCTGACTTGCTCACGGTATTTTATGGGTTATTTCCCTTATTTTTCACTATGGATGGACTTGCAGTTTCTCACGGCTTAGGTCGCATGATTATTTCTTATTTCGTGTTTCTTACTTTGAAAATGACGAACTTCTATACAACCAATCATCCCTTTTTATATATATTTTCTTAGGTAGGTAGGTGCTTAGAATATAAAAAGCATCAGAAAAGAAACGCTACTACCAAAAATGACGAAGTTTCATATAAATTACCAACCCCCATTTTGCACCCTCAGAGGTGGAATTTAAAAAAATCCTAATTAGTGCATACTATCGTCACCTATGAAATATTTGTGCAAAATTTCATGCTTCTAGACCCAGTGTGGGTTGATAGATCAATCAGTAAATCAGTATGTCAGTTTCTTCTTTTATAGATAGAAATCGATTGGAGAACGATTTGCATGCATAACCTAAATTAAGCAAGACCAGTATCCTATTATATTAAACGATTTAAATATAGCAAATATTTAAATGGTTAGTTTAGAACAATGCGATGATTAGTATCATCAAACAAGAATAAAAAAATGTGAGGGTACACAGTAGTGTACCCTCACATTTTTTATTCTTGTTTGGTCGTAGTAAACTTTATCAACTTTATTTTTTTAAATAAAAGTATAGCAACGAGTATGGTACAGTAGGGTGCTATATTTTTATTTATTTAACTGAGATAGAACAATCTTGTACCCTAGTTCCTTGTAAAATTACTAAAACTAGTACAATTCAGTACCTAACATGATGCATGGGTGTGGTGTGCCGTAGAACTTCGACTATGAAGAGTACTACATGTCACGTGATCCGGCTCTGCTCGCGAGCACATTCATGGCGAACGTGGCATTCCTCGGCATGAGCTGGAAGCAAATGCTTGGCCGGCCGACGCTCACATTGCTCGCTACACAATATTTGTTAGGTAACTTTGTAATTTTAAACTATGCGCAAAAACTTTGTTTACTTTTGCTATTATAACGTTTCTGGTATTATTTAAAAAAATGAAGATATCCTAAAGAGGTTGGCTTTTAAATTTTATCCTATGCCGCTTTCATGCTATGTGCGTATGAATGTGTGCCAAGTAACTATTTAAACATTTAATTGTATGAGGTATGCATTATTTGAATTTCACTCATTTTTAATAAACGACGAGATCAATTAGATTTAGTAGAAACTTGTATGAAATAACAATGTGTGACGTCATAATTTTCTGTAGATAATTATTTGATGGTTACTTCTAAACAAAACAAATGTAAATATATCAAGGTTTTAAAAAAAGTTAATAGTCAGTTTTGCTTGGCCTTGTTGGAAATTTTGTAACAATTATAGGAACTACATTGTTTAGTAAAGAATAACTACAGTTAAGGTCTTGACTCCAATTACGTATAAAAATTGTATAAAAGAAAATTCCTAACTAAGCATTGTTACAAAGTCCTGTTCTGGCGTGTTTCGGAATCCCAACACATACACAAATATGGAATACAAAGGTGTAGTTAATATTTTTTTAATAACGATTTTTTTTAATATTATGTTTACCTTTAGCGAATTATCATTGAAAAAGTCTGAATATATGGGGATCTTTTATATTTCTCGTCAATTCTATATTTTTGTGAAATAATACTTAAACTCTGCAAGGAGAGTTTGGCAAATGACCTAAATATTTAAAAATACTGCATTAGTATATAATTAAAAGAAAAACTTGTGACACACTGCTGATTTGTTTGCTTAAAACGCTGGTGGAGGCAACCTGGGTGATTGGAAAAGTCAGTAAGAACATTAATCCCAATCATAATTTTATTTTTATTATGTAATTTAAATAGAAGGTATCACAAAAGTGTTGGTCATTATAATACAACATGAAAAAAAAAACAAGTTTATGAATTTCATATAATAAAGAAAACAAAGTAGCCTTCAATTTGGGATAAACGCTCTAAAACTGTAATATTAAAAATACCATATCTTACGCTTTTGATTTGAACGTCCTGATAAAAAAAAAAGATATTTGGTGTGACATTTTACTATCTATGTTCCTAAGTAAGTCAGTAAAGTAGAGATGAATCTTCTAGTGGCTTCCTACCTATCGGCTCCTTATCTGGTAGTATCTCAATTGTAAATGGATACTGGATATGTCTGTTTAAGTGAAAATACTGAAAGGTATCTGGAAAAAAGTAATAAATAGTAAATATTTCTTTAAATTAATACTCCAAAAGTAAGCTTTCTCACTCGCTCTTATTTAGTAAATAAATACTAAAATAATTAAGTCCAACAAAGCTAATGCAGTTTTATCTCTACTTTAAAAATATTATCCAGTTACTAACAACATTACATTGTATCATGCTTCACAGCTGACTAATTTAGCTAATTTTAATTAATATTTTTGTAGCCAGCAATATAAATATTGAAATATACAAATATTATTAATAATTATACGATTTTCAGATCAAGGTAAGATCCCAATGGCTATGATAACAACAATGAAAAAGCTTAAGTCTGGATATATCAATGGTACTAGAGTGACACTTGGAAATCTTGGTGAATTTTTGAGCACATCAGCCATTACTAATTTGAGTTTCCTTGGAAGCCAGGAGGATGGATATCCTGATAGTATGTATTCAAATTATTCAAAGGCCTTAAGTAGCATAGTTTAGTTATTACTAGATAATATCATTACTGTTTAATGGTAAAGATTATGAGGAAATGGAGTGTATGTTCCTTTATAACATAAAAGGGTCTTCTAATTATTTTGAGTGCTAATAATACTTAACAGATAAAAATTTGGGTTTTGGTTTATATGTGTGTATTATAAATTTATTTATAAATATATTTATATGTGATGTAAGTGGTGACGGCAGTAGAGCATTTCACTGAAGCATTCTACTTTGCATTTATAATGTATGTAAGATAATCCATAATTAAATTTATCCATGGTCTGGAAAGCTGTCAAGCTTGTCAGACAGATGTTATTAATTTATTGACTTTATATTGTAAAAGTCAACAAAAATTTGTTTCAGAACTAAACCCGGAAGTACAGAGTTACTTAGAGGAACACTTGCTGAAGTCAATTACTAACAAGCTGAGCTTTTTATCGCGTCCATCAGGAGTGCGCAATGCTCGGCCTTTGCGTAGGCGCATGTCAGTGCGCGGGGCTATCAGGAAAACAAGATCTATTAACGTAGATTGTAAGTAACTTGCCGATATTATATCCAAATTCATAGATTTGATAGATAAATTCTAAAAGAGATAATATATGTATACACATAATTAACTTTAAAAAAAGTATCGCTTTTTTCAATTCAATTTTGTACTGATAATTGGTTTTATTTCTTCAAATTTAAATGGGATCACACAGGAAGTATACCGACCCAAGTAAAAAATAATTTTCATATTACAAAATCTAATGACGTTGTTCTGAGGTAACAAACATATAAACATACGACTGAATTTAGAACCTCTTCCTTTTTTTAGAGTTTGTTTAAACATTCCATAGAAACAGCGCAAGTTTGTATATTTTTAAATGCAGTTTTCATATAATCTTAAGCGAAAGTTTGGATAGATGGTTTTGATACTTAAGCCAAAACGGGTCTGGATAAAATTTATATCATAGCCTGTTAGTATTGCGCGTAGGCTACTATTAATTTCATCTCGGCAAAACTGATTAATAACATCGATGAAGAGAGTTAATATTAATTTCCTTAACGCTCGCAAAAACAATGAGTGAACGTTTCAATTACAGCTGATACTTTGGGTATGGAAGGTGACTCCACGATGCAGGGTCGGACTCTAGAACGTAAGCCATCGTGGCTCGACGTCGACCCTACTCATGGACGCAGTCCTTCCCCTGAAGATGCCAAGAAGAAGGCTTTTACTAAGTAAGATGTTTTTTTTCAGTTAATCTTTTTACAGTTGATTGGACATTGAAAATTACCTCATCTGTTCAAATGTTATTAAATTTTTATATAATATATACACAATAAAATAAAAATAAGAACTGATTAAGAATACGGAATGTCACCACTACTATTCATCCTGTGGGTGTCGTAAGAGCCGACTAAGGGAGCAAATTACGCAGGACGACAGCACTGCAAAGAGAAGGAAAACTTGAAACAAACCCTGTACCAACCCGTCTGGCCCGCGTGGTATAGTAGGCCAAAACCTCCTTCCTAAGGAGGCCTATGTCTAGCAGTGGACTGTAATAGGCTGTTGATGTGATGTGTGATGTTTAAAATTTAGGCAAAATATTGCTAAAGGATAAAATATTTTGGCATTCTAAAGCAGTCATTAGTTCTAAACGACGTAAAGTACCTATAGATGTAGTCCTAACGCATCAACGAATTGTTACGGTATACTTCGACACAATATTAGTAACCACTTATCTGAGGTTCGATCTTTAAGCAACATTCGATTTCTTGTCTCAATTTGTGTAATTTTTTTTTGGAGAACATACGTTTAAGAATGTTATCGAGACCCAATACATTTCAATTTTTGAAAACCACTATTGCTATACTATCGTCATCGATATACCAGAGCACTAAAGCGCATATCACGGTTTGTGCATTGTTTTAGTTTACAAAAATAAGATTTTTTAACGCATTTTACAAACTACGTGTATATTACTTGTAATGGTCCGAACTCCGAAGTTGCTTTATCTTAACATCCTACATATCTAAAACTATTTACCAGGGGAACATCGACAACTAGCTTAGGAGTTCCAACGCCAACTATTGAAGTAACTGCAGAAAAAGTTCCTGTGCCTAAAGAAGAGGGTAAGTTTATTATTATAGTAGTTTAGAAAATGTCATAAATGTAAATATGTAGTTTGTTTTCCAATAATACGTTTTAAGCAAAATTAAATTACATAATATTGTTTAAATCTGAATGATATTCCTTGTCATCCAACGGCCATACACACCGTCGCGACTCTACGTGTTGGACTCTGTGAAGCCGACCAGGGCTATACGAGTATATGTATATAAACTGTATATAAATGTAGGCATACATTTACAACACAAGTTGTAGTAACACAGTATGTAGGCGTTTAATTGTTTGGAGGTTGTAGTAACTGAAGATCGTAGCGAACGACAATGGACTAGTTTAATTAAAACCCTAAGTTGCTACTTCTATTATTTTGTTTAGTTAAATTATCAAATTTGGTTAAGCAAAACTAGGTACCATTTCTCAAATTAACTTTAACAAAACTCAATTATTATTAACTGACTGCTGTACTGCTACTACTACTGATATCGTGTGCTATATGACCTGGTATACCTGGATACTGGTTGTCCGGCTAACCGTGAATTCGTATATCCGGTATTCTTTATTGAATGAGTATCAAAATAACAATATACGAATAGCCTAGTGAAATAATAATATTACCTATGCCAATTTAATTAATGCCTATATTTTAATCTTTCGCAATATTACTTTGTTTCAAAAAAATAATTTATTTACTTAATCAGAATATGTATGTCCGTTTTTATTGTTCCCCTAGTTTGTCTACACATCTATTTAATTTCCTGCGGTTGTGGTTCATTATAGAGAGTGAGAAACGTTTCGTAAATGGTTTCTATCAGAAGTTTTTTGCCTTGTCTCGATACCCATACAACACCCGCGAGTTCACGTCCATGAGGACTTTAGGTAATCCATATTACGTCTAATATCATCCAACAGAAATTAATTTTTAGCGTTTTATTATTTTTATTTTCAAGCACATTATAGTGGTGTTATCGTGAAGCGCACGCTCCCTTCAACTGCTGCGGTCAACCCCCCTGCTAAGCGACAGTGTGGTATAATTCTCCTTATATTGGTCCGCTTAGTTTGCATGAATGATGAAAAAACTTGGCATTTACCTTATTAACAAACTTAATCCAACATAGTTTAGTGGTAAGGCATGAACATGAACTCGCGGGAGGACTAGAATTACCTTCATTAATAAGGATCCAATGCAGTGGTCCTCAGGTGTGTCAATCAATGTTTAACATTACTTCTTCTTCTTTTTTGGAATGATCCAATGCAAATAAAACTAAAACAGGGTTTCTTAAAGGTCAAGACTGTATTTATGAAGGTTCAGCATAACAAGCTCAGATAAAGACGGAACACGTCGTTATTCCAAATTTTCTAAATTTATGTAGAATTCTGAATGGAAGTAAGTTTTCCATTTGATTGATGTAAGTGGTTACTATGTTCTTAATACCATAGATGAGTCCCTAAAGTACTAGATTAATAAATTTTAAGAAGTTACGTGCTATAACAATCTCACTCGTTCGGGGTACGGTAAACAGAAATAAGTATATTAATATAAACACTATGAAATACATGTTTCCAGTTGAATAATAATAATATTTCGGACATCTGACACACTAGAAAGCAGCAGAGCTTGTAGGTACTATAATAATAATAATATTCTACCGCATTCACACAACGCCATCTAGTCCCAAACTAAGCAGAGCTTGTACTATGGGTACTAGACAACTGATATAAATACATAAACACTTTTTTTTTGGTAAATACATACATATTATACATAGAAACACCCAGACCAAATCAAACATTAAATGTTCATGCACACAAATGTTTGACTTGAGCGGGAATCGAACCCGCGACCTTTGGAATAGCAGTCCGTTACACAAACCACTACACCATCCGGTCGTCAAAGAAAGCTAGATTGACTGATAGAATACTTATATACTTTTTTTCTTAAATACATACATATTATACATAGAAAACACCAAAACTCCGAAACAAGTATTTGCAGATCATACAAACATTTGGTCCGACACTAGGAATTGAACCCGAGACCTCAGCACGGCAGTCGCATACGCTACCACTGCACCACCGAGGCAGTCAGTGGATTTCAATCCTAACGTAACCATTTGTTACTTTTAATTTTCTTAATATTTCCAGTGATAATAAACAAGAACCTACCGGTGATAAGGAATCGCACGACGTCCGAATCACAGAATTCGGTGTACGCGGAGCAGGAAACGGATGAGCTGATCGCTATGTTGCGAGAGACTGAGAGTTTAGACGAGCAGGGCGACATACTGCAGTACCTTGTTGATACGCATGGCTTAGATTTTAATACAGGTAACACTTGATTTTCAATGAAAAAAATAACTGTTGATAATCCTATCTTAAGTTTCTATTAGATAACTTTTAACACCTTAATTGCAAGCACTTTTTATAAGCATAAGCGATAAACACTTCGATTTTGTGATATGAGATTAGGTCAATAAAAAAGGCCTTCAAAGAAAAACGAAACGATTTTCCAATGATAAAACCAGTACAACAAATCGCTCCATCATTTCCTATTAATGGCTAAACAGTTAAAAATAATTTAAATCAAGATAATTTCTGCAGGTATGCAAGAAAATGGTAAGACAGTCACAGTGAAGGATCTTCTGAAAGTGCTGTATGAGAAGGCTTGCACCCAGAAGCTTTGGGGCCTAGTCCGTCACACTGCGGGTATGTTAGGAAAGCGAGTAGAAGACTTAGCAAAGGCGGTCACAGACTTACTCGTTCGACAGAAACAAATTACCGTGGGTATGCCTCCGAACAACGAACACACGATCACCGCGCCGTTACCCGAAAATGAACTAAGGCAACTTATACACCAGGTGTGTTAACTGATATTGATACTAACAACAACGCCATCTGTGCAGCAATGGTTTAAGCGGTTACTTCACTGCTTCCTACTGCGTTGTGGGTTCTATCCTCATAATTATGGGATAATACTTTTGGTGATTCACAAATTGTTGTGAAGTCCCCTCGACACTTGTGCGGGAATCTTCGTTTCAAGAAAAAAAAGTGATAAATGCCAAAACTGTTCTAGTGATGAAGTCTCATAACCTAAAAAGCAATAAATGTATCATTTTATCGTTCATATGACTAGGCAATAATCAGATCAAATAATTATTTATTATATTTATCTATGCATTCTTATTTTTAAGACTTTCTTGCCCATGTCTTCAGAAAATGCATTTGATTCAGGTCACTTTCATTCGTTTATAATAAAATTGTAATTTGCCAAAATCCAACATTTGAATTCTCAACGTATTTAAAAATTTGTTGCATGCAGTCATTTCGGCACGAAAAAGACGGGAAAGGGCAGAATAAGGTAAATAAATATCATAATATAAATTCTGAAACTTTTTGCGATGACGTCATAATTACACCAATCCAATGAATTTCATTGCATTAAATACTTTAGGAAATAAAAGTATTATTTCTTTCAACTTAAACATACATAGTGTAAGTCTATTTGAACTCACGAGTTGAATTCTTGAAAAATACTATTTACAACTGTACATATCTATGCCGCAATATTTACAAATACTTTAATTAAAATAATTCAGATAAGTTCAACCATATTCTTAAATCGTGTGGTTAAAGTTTTCTGATATAATTTGAATCTTTTTCAACTTAATCAGTATTTAGATAGACTGGTCACACTTTACGTAATAATATAAAACTTCACTGCAAAAGCGTAAATAATAATCGTAACACTTATATTTCAATGCCGTTCAAACTCTCTGTAAAACCTCTTCTACACTTAATATATCTTGTAGCCGTTTGTTGATGTATTAAGTAATTTATACACACATACCAATATAAATACTTCGTAGCAATCTTAAAGTTTATTAAAATATGTTACTATTTTCTTATCTCTTAAAATTTAATTTCCTTTTTTCTCTTTTGACAGTAAAATTGGCGTCAGTGATTTTTTTTATTTCATGTTACCAATTTCGCCATAACTATAATAAATAATTGAAATGTTTATAACTACTATAAGGAAGTAATCTTTTATGTATAGTTTATCTCCATGTACCAATTATCTCCATGTAAACAGGCTTACGGTGATGATGAGAGTACAGCAATGTTGACACAGGAGCTGCTGGTGCACCTCGCCATGTTCATCCGCACGGAACCTCAGTTATTTCTAGAAATGTTGCGTCTGCGCGTTGGTTTGATTATACAGGTAATTAACTTGTTAATTTTAATTTAACGTACTTACAAATAACGATCGACAAATAACGAGTTTTGATGTAAACAATTGTTGGTAAACCTTAATAAATAAATAAATAAAAAGTTGACGATAAGAGCAAAACGAAGTGTACTGTTTTATACTTGATTAAATTGACTTGTAGGTTTTTTTTGCATGTAGAATTTTATTTTATTTCCTAGGTGATGGCCACTGAACTTTCGCGAACACTATCTTGTGATGGTGAAGAGGCTTCGGAACATTTGCTGAATCTCTCTCCCTTTGAAATGAAGAATTTGCTGCATCATATACTCAGTGGGAAGGAGTTCGCCATTAATAGCGGTAAATATATTCATTTTATACTCTTTGATGTAAAACAAACGTGTTATTTTAATTTTCAAATAAGCTTATTAGATTTTTTTATAGTTGTTAGTTAAAAAATAGCAATTAGCAGGTATTTAAATTTTTTTTTTTTATTTAGGGGTAAAATATACAGATAATTAATGAATACATTTTGTATGTAAATAATATTACATATTATTTCATACAAAAATAACCACTATTGTGCAGATTTAATGTGTGTTTAGTGTATTTTGGGCCCCGAATATTTTGAATAAAGGGTTTAAAAAAAATGTAAAGCTTTAACTTGCGTTTGTATTTCGGGGATGCCATGGTGACATCCATCACCTACGTGACAGGCCGCTTTAATTCTTTTGGTCCGAAATTAGTCAAGCACCACTGAACACTAAATGGAATGAACACCAATGACGAAAGTTTTTTTTTTAAGTGAAAGTGTTTGTGACCTACAAATAGTAGTAGTATTATTACTAATAAGTACTCTATGGGGTTTTCGTTAGATATCTTGTCTTTGTGTTGTTCTTTATTTAAACAATATTTAATGTCTTAAAATATCTGAAAATATTCATATTTTCTTTACAGCTAACTCGCTGTTTGTAATTAAAGAGAAATACAGTAAGAATAAAGGCGAGTGGTTCTCTGAGAATAGACTTTTGCTTTCGTTCATTGTCCGAGTGCACCCTACTATATGATAGTACGAAATTTATATGGGATTAAACAAATAAGGTAACAACTACGTCATCTTTGCTCATTTAGCTCAGAGCGTAGACAAGTATTGAACACTAATTTAAATAGTAGATTTCGTACTATTATAATTTTGTGATCGTCTTGTTTGAAAATCATGGTGTTATTATGTGTTGCTTGTACACTTATAAATGTTTTTAAAATATGGTGTTATAGCAATAAACCCTAGTTGATGCATTTAAGATTTCGCAACTTAAATTTACAAAGTAGATAACCAGTTCGTATTACTTTTAAAGTTAGGTAATGGAATTAAAAAAATGTAATAAACTGTTTCATTTTGTTATAAATAACTTAAGGGATATACTGATGATAGCATTGAGACAAAATGAAGAAAAATAATGTAATCAGAATCTCGTCGTACACATTTGATTTTTAAAGGAAAATGGCAGGCAAGTATGGGACTTTGTACAGCCTTGCGTATCTCACGGTGGGCATTATAGTTGTGTTTGTTTGGCTGGAACTAAAATCTCCAATTACAGTTTTAAGAACCAGGTGTTTAGAACTTTGCGTTTATAAGTTATTTCAGTTTGTAGTTGTCATTGACATTATGGAGGGTCCTCTACCCTCCATAATGTAAACTACAAGGAGAACCATCTCTGTGTACAAAAAGTGTCCGTCAAAATGCGTTAAATTGGGGGCGCTACAGTAGCATAAGAATATTTTTTTAAAGAAAGCGCCAAAAGTTGTTAGAGTAGGATAGAGAAATAAACATAGAAAAACATTGTGAAAAAATTATATTGGCTTAAATAATAATGAGGCACTGTGTACTAGACTGCGAAAATAGTCAATGAGTTATACAGACAATAAATAAACGTGTAATAACTTTAAGACAATAAAAGTATTATAATATTTTAACTCGGCACACTTCACTCTGTTCACAAAAGCTAAATAGTTTACATATAGGCTGTTTGAAGTCGATAGGCCTGACAGCTAGCAGTCACAAATAAGTTGTCATTACTGTCAATAACTTAACGTAGATAAGTCATAGAGATAATATATACATACAGGCGGCTACCCTTATGTCGGCCTGTAAGTGGAACCGTAACAGCGTTAAAGAGAGAAAAAAGATTGTGCAGGTCTTGCATCCCCCTCTCTCATCCCTTCACTGATTGGCTGTCACAGTCCCCTACAATCGTGTCTGTTATTGTAGGGGACTGACAATAACAGGCTGAGTGGAGAGAGAGATGCAAGACTCGTTTCTCTCTCTAACGCTGTTACGGTTCCTATTCTAGTTGTATATTAACTTTATGAGATAAGTACTTTATTAAAGTTTACTTCATCAAAGTATTGTTAAAATCAAAATTATTTGTTTGCGATTTTCTTGATAAATCAGTTAAATTACTTTTTTACATGATATTTATGATTATTCCATTTGTACAAAAAAAAAATTATTCATTGAGATTTGTTGCTTTATTATTTCGTCTAATCAAGTCAGTTTCGTCTAGTCAGTCAATATTAGTGGTTAAAAAAAATTCAATGTAAGCTCATTCATTAATATATTATCAATTTAAACATCTTTTTATATGTAATTTATATTTTATGCATGGCAAGTTGACAACATTTGAACATTTAGTTATTTCACTTGTTACAATATTTGCAGAAGATTTTATATAATAATATGTACTTTTAGCAAAGTTTCAAAAACATGATATTTACATGAAAGCAGTTAGGATGCTTCACTTTATAAATTGTACAAATCTCATAACCAAGTATCAAAGAGTACAAACATATTGCATGTCGTGTATATCATGTCATGAAAATGATTTCTTAGGATCCACCTAAGAAAGGTATTCAATATGCAACGAACAATACCTGTCTGAATGCTTTCATATGATTATGATGATATTATTACGATTATTATTATGATTACGGAACATATGTGGTCTAATGTTCTCATTATCAAACCAGAGGTAAATCCAAAATTAAGACTCCTTTGTCGATTTCATCTTACAGAAAGTACGCACATAGCAATTACTAATCCACAGTTATAATTTTTTTTATTAATAAAAGTGTGAGTGTTTTCTTATTCAAAGTCGGTACCAAAAAATATTCTCAGCAGACAGATAAAACTAGCTTGCATTGTGACTCAAATTGATTCAATTCCTTAAAAATTTAAGTGTATTGGTGTTATGCCTATTTTGTGTTTTGTTCCCGGTAAATTAAGGGTGCATTTACATCAAAACCTAAAAAAAATGGCGTTATATCTACAGGTAACGTTAAAAATAACACTAACTTATGTTAAGGAAGTTTCCCGGAACACAGGTCGAAATATGAAACACGGTGTTAGTGGCTGAATGTAAAACAGACCTAAATATGGTAATCTTCCATTTTGACCGTCTCCATTTATATATTTTTATATATTTGTTCAAACAAATCTGTTAAACATGTAAATGCATCCTTAATTATTTGAGTATGTATTATAGAAATAAATGTTTAGATTCGTTTTTGTACATGACTTTTTATATCCTACTAAATATGAAGACTTGAAGTACCTGCACATTTTTTTTCAATATTGTCCATAGATAAAATATTTAAAGTTAGCTGTAGTTGCAGGTATTTCCAGTTTTAATGTTTTTTTATTTTTATTTTCTGTTCTTTTTTACAGTTGGTCGTGGAAATTTCTCTATAGTGAGCAACAAGTCTCACAGATATGGCAAAAAGTCTCAAATAGTTTTGGAAGGGCAATCTCTACAAGGCAGTATCGATGATAGTGAGTATGTATGCATTTGTATCATCATTTCTGGGGCAGCTTTTTTTTCCTGAGGTTATTGGTTAATTAGGTTGTAAGTCTTTGCTATTGTTTATTTATGAGAATAGTTATGACCTTAAATTCTCGCTGTCATAGTACTACATATATTAACCAATCCAACCATCCAATCGAACTTTTTTCTTAAAATGTAAATTTAAAAAAATGTAAAGATAATATGTGCTCTAATTTCTGCTTTTATGTTGGATTTTTATATATCACGTACTAGCTTCTGCTATCGGCTTACTTCTTATAAAACAATTTATTCTCTTTCTCGGGGACAATTTTCTTTTATGAAATGTGCAAAATTTCATAGTATTCGAATAACGGCAATGCACTGAAAAAAAAAGCTTTTGACTTTTACACTATTTTTGGATGTTTTTATAGTTGCTTGGGTTTTATAAAACTATAGTTTTATAAACAACGACAATCTAGTACGTACGCTTATTAGTGAAGTGAGTAGTGCACTCGTAAACATAAATCTGCTAATTGTAAACTTGACTGCTTCTAAATGTAACGTAGTACTAGAACATATTACCAAAATTTTTAAGTAAAACAAATACTATACCTACTTGTTAAAATCATTTAGATCTACAATGACTATATCTATATCGATATTTTTAGTAGAGTATATCATAACCCATTCACATAAAATTTTCTGTTTCTAATAGAAATATGGTTTGTTAATAAAATATATTTCGATTTACTTAGCGCCTGCCATAGAGCCGGACCGTCAAGGGCAATGGCTGCGCAGGCGCCGACTCGACGGAGCTCTCAATCGTGTACCCCGCGACTTTTATCCTCGTGTTTGGGGTGTTTTAGAAAAGGTAATTATTGTTTTAGTAAATAGAAAAAGCTAATCTATCACCATATCTATCTAACCTCCTTCCTAAGGAGAGGCATATGTTCAGCAGTGGCCTATTAAAGGCTGTTGATGTATGTTGATGTAATCTATCATTGCTTCACAACTCATTATGAAATATCATAATTAGTTGTGAGCTAATAAGCTGACTCTATTGATAACTTATTTATTTTCTTCGAAATATGTACATAAATTCATATTTGGAATGTTTCCATTGTTGTTGGCAGACCTAAGCGGCTATGACTTGTTTCAGAGGTTGTTCCTTTGAGATTGCATATAAATATATATATAATTCATATAGCAACCTTGAACACTGTTGAACATTCATAGATCGACGATCAAATGAATTTTGCAAGCAAGCAATTGTAGTGACAATCACAGTATAATTCGTTGTTTTATGAACAAAATAAAATAGTTAAAAATAGGTGCTATAAATAAACATTTAATAAAAAAGCCAAGTTTTATATTTTGTAAGATGGGAATGAAGTCATCAAGGTAGGTACAGGAAGAGAAGTTAATTTTGCAACTACTTTTTTTCTAGTGCCAAGGACTACTGATCCAGGGTAAAATTCTACAACCCAATCTGACGCAGGAGATGACATCTGGCGAACTGAAGTTTGCCCTCGCTGTCGAGACCGTATTAAACTCAATCCCTCAACCCGAATACCGTCAGCTCGTGGTCGAAGCATTGATGGTGCTGACCCTAGTGGTTGAATATAAAGCTGTAGCGCATTTGGGCGGGATGATAGAAGTCGAGAATCTAGTTCATAAAGCTAATCACATATTCTTGGAGGATCAGGTGAGTTATGAATTGGTAAAGAGTAAAAAGCGCTTATATAGTTACAGTTTAGGTAATGTGTTTAGCCCAAACTGAGTATATTTTATAACAGCTTATTAGACTTTTAAGAAAAAACTCGTCACGTAATAATCTATTGAGCAATAAATCAATCAATCATCAAATTTAAATTGACAAGGTAGGTTGCAGTGACTACGTGTAATTACGTTTGTTTGATTTTTATGGAATTAAGAACTTGAAAATAACAACAAAAACAAAATAATAAGCATATCTCATACCTACAAATCAAATCACGAAAACTCGCTTCAAGTATATATATAAATACTACGTAATCTCACTGATCTCTATTTTTTTACACTTCCATGAAATATTTTACTCCGTTTAAATAAATAAAAAAATACTTATTCTGTGCGATACAAATTCGTTCCTCGAAGCCTATGAACGCCCTGGGAGGCTTCTGCGCTTCCGGAAGGAACTGGGTCGGTTCACCTCGCCAACATTCTATATTATTTTTATAGACGCATAAAATACCGTCGTTTAGTGTAAATTGTCAATCAGAGCCCATTACCATCGTTCGGTTCGTAGATGCGGTGTAACGGCGACGCCACGCTGTGCTGCGCGAAGGAGGGAGTGGGCGGCGCGCTGGTGTGCGGCGGCGCGGCGGGCGTGTGCCAGCACCTGTACGACAGCGCGCCCAGCGGCAGCTACGGCACCATGACGTACCTGGCGCGCGCCGTCGCCGCGCTGCTGGCCGCCACCGTGCCCATGGACGCCGCCATCGAGTGTACCATTACTTAGATCCGTAGGGAGAACGCGGGGTACAGCCGCCTGTGAGTGGTAGCGATACAGGCAACGAGAGATATTTTCCTCTGTCTCTGTTTAGCTTAGCTGCGTTTCGCTACTTATTTACCCCTCATATTCCCCAGCCGACCCTGTGGACTCTTTCTAGTCTAGTCGTAGCTCTGTAGCGACTAGAAAGAGAGGGGGACTATCTATTATTTATCTCTTTCGTTGCCTATATTGCAAGATTGGGGCTCTTGTTATCTCTAGGTCTCTTATCTCTATGCTTAGATCACTACACTGTACACCTACTATATTATTTTTCTCAAATCTTCTAAAAACTAAAGGTAGCATTCGGTTTCTAGTCGACCGCGACTCGCGACCGCAGACCCACGACTGGGTCGCGCGACTCACTGCTTTTATCTATTTATATGGAGTATATTCGGTTCAGTTGGCGGCGTTGCGACCGCGATCCGGTCGCTCCAGAGGCAGTGCAGTCGCTCGACGCAGGCAAGAAGCGCATTCAAATGGCGTCGTTTCCACCGAATGAGAACGAGAAATTGATTGAATTCGTGAATAAAAAGCAACTCTCTTCTCGTGATGTGAAAACTGAGTCAGTTTCATTTTTGTGGAGGCATAGATAATAACATAATAAGATTATCATCATCGTCTTCATCCTTAAAAAATGTTTCTCAATAGCTTTTTTTTATGTTAGAGGCGAGCGGACCGGTCACCTGATGGAAAGTGACCATCGCCGGAACGCCTGCAGCTCAGGAGTCACAAACGCGTTGCCGGCCTTTTAGGAAGGAGTCCGCTCTTTTCTTGAAGGTATCGGTCTGGAAATACCGCAGACGATAACCCGTTCCACAGATTGGTAGTGCGGGGCAAAAAGCGCACAGTAGTGGAGCGCCAACTATCCAGGTAATGAGGATGAAAATTTTGGCGTGTGGAACGATGGCGGAAAGTTTCGGCTGGTATTAGTCCGAACAATTCCTCGAAGCACTCTCCATGATGTATTTCCTAGCTACGGCAAAATTTTCGTACATATTGCACTGCAAAGGATACAACGCGTCGCGTCGCTAACATCGGAAAGCTATGGGTCGCCCCGCGGTCGCTAAGAACCGAATGCTACCTTAACGGCCATAATCGATCTTCCGGTGACTAGAATTCTATTTCAGAATAGTATACAATACTAACATCTGAATGTATGAAGGTAAAATTTAATGACCTTATTAAATATTTGTATATATGCTGTTATGCAATGACGTTTTAGAAAATCGGAAAAAAGACGTCTTGGTCAGTCAAAATTTGGTCTTCATTTTTTTTCATCTCGGAATAATGTCAAGTGTTGCGGCTGACAGGAAACGATCCCCTAAACGAGACCTAAGCGAGTCTACTACATAATATTACTTTCCTATAATAACATTAGTGCTCATTCCTACTCAGTTTGGAAGGAAAAAACCAATCCCAGTTTTAAAGGATTATTCAGTTACGATTCGTTTGAAGTATCAATACCGTTCACATATAATAATATGTAGTTGCATGGTGAGTTTGATCTTTTATCTTACTTTAATTATCTTCGAAATTTAGAGTAAATACACTCGTCGTGTGCAATACAATATTTTTCATTTGTGCCGAGTCTTGGCGTCGAGAGCGAGGTGATGTTAAATAAACTTACACTAGGTCCTCTGACTGAGACATTTTAGATTAGTTTTAGTGTTACTTTTAAACAGGTGACAGATAAAGTGATATGTCCATACCCATATTTAAGTACCACAATTAAAGTTCTCATTTTTTGGGTAAATGTATCACGAATATTATATCACGATTCATTGAGTTTCGGTTTCAAACTGCTGAGCTGCTCTTTAGATGTTATGTTATGATAATAGAGTAGTAAAACTCTAGACCTTCGACGTAATTATATTTTTATCAAATTTTTATTTTATATAATCATTATCTTACTTTGTATTATTTTGAATAGTTTTGTCAGAAAACAAGAGACAATGTGTATTTTGTTCTGCCCCTTGTATCATAGATAAATAAATGTTAATTATTTTTTACATAATAAAGTTATATTATTACCTAATGTTCATTATTACTCTTATTTTAGATTCTGCAAAATGTTTCAGATTTTTATTACTAACACGCAGACATTATTCAGGCGGCTTTTTAATTACGGTTTATAACGGAAAATAATTTTCCACCGCGATAAACCTCCTTCTAAGTCTTGCAACTGCAGGCAAAGAATTACAGAAGAAAACAGGGATAATAAATACCTAAATAAAATTGAGTTGCAGAATGAACCTACATGTTATGACTTAAGAAACATAAGTTATTAGAAAAAAAGAGTGCAGAGAAATAACGAAAAAGATTTAGCAATAGACCATTTAAAAACAGCAAAATAAGAATGGTGCACAGCCTCAAAATCAAAATAAAATTCCCACGCTCTATATACTTACTTTGTATGTTTTTAAATTGATTTTTAAACAAAATAAATCATTTTTGAAGAGAAGTTCAGTATAAGTACAGAACTTAATTAGTCCCAGTTATGAATCAAACCATCAAGCTCAGTCTCAACAGTTAATATGACACACCACTATTAAATCAGTTAAGTTTAGACAATTGATAAAAATACTAATATAATAAAAATACTCATCCAAAAAAAAAACGTACCTATGGCACTCATTATTTACCATCAATGATTACATCATAAATTTAATCATTTTTAAATTTTATTTGTAACACCTATATTTATATTTTGAAACATCTACTACCAAGTTGCATTTGACTAAAAAACCAATTTCAACATCACTAAACATCATCACTAAGCTTCATCTTTCTTGCCAAATGGGTTCATCTTCGATAGCCATGATGTAGTTGCTCTGAAAAGTTTTTATACAATCAATTTGGTACATATTCACAAATCTGGAGTTACCTACTAATAATAACTTTTAAACTTGCATTCCATGATAATATATATGTATGGGAATTAAACATGACTGAGATTGGCAGTTTTATAACATTAATTATGTGATTGTGTTAATTTGCATGCTTACACAAAATTATCTGTTTCCCTTAAGCTTTGCGAGTTGAAAACACATACAACACCTTGTCAATAAGACAAGGTGTTGTATGTGTTTTCACCGCACATCCCCTCTTCAGACAGAACCAAAACATATTAATGTTATCCATCACTACTATTTAAAGGAATGTCAAGCTTTTCCTATTCTTTACTAAAGTTATTGCTATTCAAATTTCAATATTGCATCAGCCAATAAATATACAAAACAAAAAATATAATGGCACATTATGATGATTTAGGTAATTAAATGTTTTACATTTTTTTTTTATAAAGTTAACAGACAAATTATAATAAAAAAAAAGGTATAATATTGGTGCTGGGGATTGCACTCTTTAAAAACTTATTTAAGCATTTAACAAAACTATATTTAATTATGCTAATGTAATTATAGTTTGAAGTGATCTAGGTAACCTACATTTTGAATTTTTGCAATTTTTCATATTAATTCAGTTAGTTGAAATGTCAAACAACACAATTTTTTTACCTAATCCCAAAAGTACTTACGATATTTCATCAGGTGAACTCTTTGTTCCTTCAATGCCAGCAGCTTTCAATTTTTCAACTAGGTTTTTCCTGTACATGTTTTTTAGTGGAACAGGTCTGTTGGCGGCTTCTTTCTGTTTTGCTAATTTGGATAGAGCTTCATACCAAGATAGGCCATACCATTCTATTTCTTCTGGGGTATACTGAAATAGGCAAATCATTATTTTAAAGTACAATAATGATCAGTTGCAATTACTATATCTCCTTTACATAAAAACATGCTAATTTTGATTCTCACATCTCTAACATTCAAAAATGTGTTATATAAATTGCGGCCTTTATAAATGTACAAGGGCTGCTATTTATGTATCCGAAATAACATATGCATAGTGGCCGTCGCTACATTGGGTCATACATCCCAGGTGACAGCGGCTGGCAGGACTATAAATATTGCATAATATGAAGATGCCCTGTAGTATAGTTTAAACATAATAGTATAATTAATTACTCCACACTGACATCACATTGGTAGTATCTACACTGCACCCATACAAAGCTGGCACGGATAGCTAATCATCCAATCATTTAACATGGATATATTGCTTACTTTCAAGTGGTGGTGTAATGTAATTAATACACTGCACATTCAAAACATTAATGAGCAAACAGATTTTTGCATTTCTGATTCTATTTTTTACAGTACAATGTGAAGACTACTATTCTGAAATATAGGAGTATACTGAAAACTCAAATTTTAATTAAAACAAACTAGGAAATTAAATTAACTCACAGATGTCAAATATGTCTTATACTCCTCATAAACTTCAGTCTGCTTTACAGGGTCATGTGAATATCTAGGACAGCCATTCATTAACTCAATCAGTATTTGCTTTTTTAACTTCAATGCCAACATGGAAACCAAATCACAGGCCGGTGTTTTTAGTAAAAAGTGGTCAAAACCATAGTGGTCATTGATCAAACTAATTGTACGATCCGTCACAGTCACTGAAAGATGAGTGTTCAAGACTTCCGATTTCACAACTGTTCTCTTTAGTACTGGCACCCAATAATGTGGTACCCTGCGACGTCGAGGGTCTCGTTTTTGAAACCCTATAATTAAAAAATGGGTTTAGAAACTAGTATTGCATTGATATCAATATAACCATAAAAAATGAAATTAACCTTTAATTACGGCTTCTCCTCCCCATATACCGTCGTGAATTTCAGCAGGATATTTCAAAGGAATAGGAACATTTTGTACAGGCAATATCTCCCCAGTGATGTCGTCACGCTTCCACTTCCCTTCTTGAGGGATATAGTGGACAGCAGCAGGTTTCAGTACTTTCCATTCTCGCCAAAATTTTTTGTACGCAGGCGGCAATTCAGAAGCGATACCTATTTCAAACCTTCCTTTTTTCTTGAAAGTTTTAGATAGTTGACGCGCAGTTGCCTGAAATAATATGAGTCAAATAACAGCACAGTAATTCTCTAAATCGCTATAGATGATGACATAGCCAAGTCTAGGCATTACGTTACCTGGAGACGTGATGCCATTGGATAATATTTAAAGTAAGGCTGAAAATAGTCAATAAGATGAACCAAATAACCAAATAAAATTTAGGTAACCAGCAAGCTGGCTTGTTAAATTTTTGGATTAAATTTATTTTATTTTGACAGTAATGACATTTAATATGGAGATATTTTTTATGCCCTAGGTACTAGGTACTTATTAGTTACCTATCGTCTTTATATCACCATCAGTGTTGCAAACCTCAAAAAACTAAAAAACAGTAACTCACCAATAAAAAAACAGTAGGCAAAGTGAAAAAGGGCAAATTTCATACTTTCCTGATACAATTAAAGCAATTAACTACTTTTATTAGGTAGTAAGACTCTCATACATTGTTATATTATAATATTGATTACAACATAACAAAAACAAAAATCAAAGTAAAATTATTTTCCACTTTCATCCTCAATTTCCTCATCTTCAGTATTTTGAGACTCATTGTGTTTAAAATTATACTTATATTTGTTAAATTTCTTCATATGCCTTTCTGTGGTTTTAAATGAATAGCAATCAGTTATAATGCTCCTTTAATAGTTGTAGTCGATATTCTGTTGCGTAATTTGGTTTTCATAATATTTATAGCTGAAAATAACCGTTCAACAGTGGCGCTGCTATGTGATAGGCACAAAAGTTTTTTCACAAATTCACATAATGTGGAAAATGACAATTTTTCAATTCGTGTACATGTTTCCAAAATTCGATAATATCGGGAAATTGTTTTGGTCAAAAGATAAATTGACTTTTCTTAAAATTCGCCATTCTCTATCCAGTTCAGTTATATTATTTGGAGAAATCTTTAGGAAGAAATAATGTAAATCTGCAATGAAAGGGATTTTTTTTTAATTTCAGGATCCAGAATAGCTTTAGGATCTAGCATCTTCAGACATCTTAATGCTTGATGGTCTTTGTCGTTAAAAGGAAACCTTTTTAGTATCTGTTTTGCAGCCTCGAGATAAAACTCCTTACACTTTATGTAGAAATTGTTCAGCCGTTCTTCCTCTAGTTCTCCAATTTCTCTCTTTCTTCTGATCAGATTTGGCACCATTCCACCGACGTATATTTCTTGCAACGGTAAATGTTTCTGCTCATTCGAGAAGTCAAGGCTTAATATTTCAGTTTCTTTTGCGTCTAAAATATTTCGTGCCTCTAGTTTTTCCTTCGCAGTGAGATCCAAATATTCAGTTTGTACAAAGCATCCCAAAATAGTTGTGTATTCATTCAGTATTTTGTCTTATAGTAAATATAATTTTGGAGTCTCGGACTGCATTTCTTTATTGAGCTCAGTAAATATAGGCAATGCAAATTTCAAAAACTCCAGATATAATTCTGTTGTCGGTTCGAGAGCCTTGGAGAGAATTGATTGTACAGAAAGTAATCTATCTACATGAAATGCAGCTTGAAAATATAATTTTATCTATGGTAATTGTTCCAGAAGCCTGTATACTACCTCAATAAGCGACAACCATCTTGTTTGGCAAGGGTGGAGTAATTTGTGTGGTTTAACATTTGTAAATGCTTGAAATGTTTTAAAATCTCCAATACGTTTTGGAGAATTTTGTACATGGTTAAATACTTCTCTACAAAAGTCTTCTACACCCCTTGGTAATTTCTCACATGCGTATGACGCGCAAAGGTTAAAAGAATGTCAAATGCACTTTATCGTAAAAAGGTGAGGCAAGCCATTTTTACTTCACCCGCTTTGGCTGTAATTTTTGTATCTTGTGAATTGGAAGCTGATGTAAACATTGATGTCAGTTTTGTTCGGTTTTGCAATTTCAAACAATTCTTAGCATGTTTTGTTGAATCTTTGTGTCGTAGCAGTTCGTGTATACCACATTTTCGGTCACAATTACACGCGGAACAAAAAAATAGGTCTAACCTTTAGTGCTTGTCTTTTAACCATGAATTTATAAATTTCTGTTCATATTTAACAATCTTCTTTTTAGGAGACCTTTTGTCAGTCGATGAATCACTGCTCATTGTATTATAGACGTTGTAAATATTATTATTCAATTTAAACGGCGGGATCACATGTACTTTAATAATTCACTTGAAATATGTAGCCATAGAATCCAATATACGGTTCAATACGGCTGTAACCTGTAGCTATCATTCTATATATACACTGGGCATTCCCGTGTATAAAATATGACTGTCAATCACATAGATTGTGGTCGGGGAATTCCCTCAAATGCCGACAAGTGTAGATACTGCCATCTAGTGTCACTGCATTATATTTGATAACTAGACATTTAAGTATTTATAAAAAAAATTGCATAGTGTAATAGGTGGCGCTGAACGCTAATTGAAGAACAGTAAAAATTAGGAATGAAACAGAAAACAGGGGCATCAACGTCGCACCAGGGACTTCCTTTCTAGGGTATACCTGGTTCCCCGGCTATTAGTACCCGAGACGGCGTGCGGTTTTAGTCGGTTCGAGTCCGACATGCCACCGATAGGTGTTATCCGAGGGGATTTCCGCACAAAAATAAAAGGGGCATCAACGTAAAAACAGGTAATCTACTGTTAAAACAGTAGGGTTGGTAACACTAATCACCATAGACTTAGTATGATATCCATAGTCTAACATAAAATCAAAAAAAATACTTGATACATAATAAATTAAATAACCTGTGATCATGTATGTGAACCTCACAAACTCAGGACAACTATATCCGGATTATACACATTTTTAAACACTTCCCACAGCATAATAACTAGGCAACCACTTTCCTCCTTATTCATCACAAATCATTTAATTGGAATTGTATACATTTCGTGACTGCCTTGTTGATTTTCGGGAGCACCCCAGTCCATAGCCAATCCTGGGAGCAACAGTTAGGTCATAACAAACTTAAGAACAGAAGGCCAATTTTCGTAATAAAAGTTCGGTTACGATTCAGTTCCGATCAAATTTCGATCTAACACCTGTCATAAAAAGAATTTTCGTAGTAAAATAAAAAAGTAATACTAAAATAAGTTTGATAATTTACTACGAAAATACCTTTTATGACAGTTGTGAGATAGAAAGTTGTTCGGAATTGAATTGAGACCGAACTTTTATTACGAGAATTGGCCTTCTGACTCATTACATATGTTTGTACCGTCAAAGAAACGAGGAAAAAAATCTGTACCAAATCTCTGATGTAGAATTATGTATGAGCAGGCGTTGCGGGCACTGTCTGCCAAACCCAAGCCCTATACAATTTTTTTTATTTGTATTTTAATACGGCGCTATAGCCGAGGACACCGAATACAGGTTAGCTTTGCCTTCAGTCTTTTAACATCACAACTGTAACCACTTTTCTTTGTTATACTTTCTGAAGAAGAAAATCTCTTTTTATCTTCACCATGTCGCACCCTCGGTGCAACAAAGTCACAAGTAGGCAAAATTGCCAAAATGACTTAAGTATGCCAAATTGTCTATAAACCATTTCTTCGTTTGGGAAATCAAAGACAGCCTCGAAATTATTTGAATATATCGATATATGGCATTAGTGCCTTTGTCGTTCTTGCTACTTTTTCGACGAATATTGGGAGAACAGAGTATGATTGGTAAGTAGTGACCCCGCGCCCGCATGAGTCAGTCGTGACTTGGAGCTAGACCGGCTTAAAGGTATTAATGTCAATGTTTATTCACGTATATTGAAATAACAAAGTGCCATTATAACGCTTAAATAATTAAATTATATTTGTACCTGGTGCGACATAGTCACAAGATACGACTTTTTTTTTGTTTCCTTTTTTTTTCAATTTTCTAATAAATTCAAAGAAATCTTTTTACATGATACTGTAGTTAAAAGAACAAATAATATAATTTTAATGAGATATCCCGGCTGCTGTAGGTAGTAATCTAGAAAATAGGAAAATTGATCGAAAAAAACTTAAAAGTCCGTTCCTGTAAAATTACAAAATGACCTGTTGAGACTTTGTTGCACTGAGGGTGCGATGTGTCAATTCATATTTTTGGTAGAACGGTTATATTAAAACTAGAAACGATTCGGACTCAAAATGATTTAAAATTCAAATAGTATTTCATAACTAACTGGAGTATTCTGATTTTGTATTCTGTGGACTCTGTGGAGTGAAGTCAGCTGTCAGTGTACCTCTCAACCTCTGCTGACGTGGTTAAAAAAGTAATGGCACTCTAAGCCATTATTATTATAGTAATTAGTAATATTGTTACTCAGTGGTGGTGGTTATATACTGTTTTGATAATTCATGAAATTCATTTTATTATTTCTTTGTACCTGTTATCTACTAGTGTATTAAATAGTGTTAGTGCACCGCGAATTACGTCTACATTAATGTTGGCAGAGAATAGTGAGCTATGTCGGACAATAAAAACAATAATCCTCCTGAAAGGAGGCAATTGGATATTACTGACAGCAATATAGCATTATCTACCGAAGTATCCAGTATTACAGGAAGTGTTAAACTTCAAAGGTAAATACCCAATATTTGTAAATACATAACAGAATATTGTCATAATAATGATATGCAAGGACGATTGTATTTGATTGGCCTACTACTGTTCGATAACGACGCAGTAAGAATTTCTATCATTTTAAATACGTGTCCATGAATGTTTATAGTTACGAAATTTCAGACACATATTGAAGTTACAACTTACTATATTATAATATATTCACTTAATTGCACTTTGTATACACACAGACATATAGTAATGACCATATTGTCAGATAACAATTACTGAACTGTTCAAGTAATTTTATTACACATTACATATTGAAATGCCATTGTGCAAGTATGTGATATAAAACATGTAATAAATATAAACATTTGTGATGTTACATGTAAAAATAGGGTGAACCATAACAAAAAAAAAAAGTTTAGATTAGTTATTATTATTTTTGGTTTGTCACACATGTGATTATAGCTGTCTAAAAAGTTAAGGATATTGTCATGTATATCTCAAATTTAAATTGTATCTGTTAATTTTAGACATCTCAACGTATGTCCTCAACTTCTGAAAGACAAATTAAGTTTGAGCGCGCACAGAGGTGCCTTGAAAATGCTGCGCTTGTTTCCAAAAGGATTAAGGAACATCGAAAAGCAACTGCCGAGTTATTGGGAAGGCCTTTTGGTAAGCTTAAAAGCATTTAAATATATAATTTTTAGACTATGTTGGATAGATGCTTGTTGTAAATATTGAAATTCAAGTAATAGGGGTTTGATAGTTAAGGTGATTATGATCAAGGGGATACTTGAAAAAAGGAGGTTTAAATGATGCTCTATACAGGGTTACAAGAAAGTTGTGCTAGATCCGTTAAGGGTGTGGAGTACCCATCATTTCTGACATATTTCACTATGAAACACCTTACCCTAAACTTAACCCTTTTCGAGATGATCGTCTTTTATTTTTTTTTGAAATTTGCTGATTTTTAGGCTACTACATTTATTTTTGTTTATTTTGTGTATGTTATTATTATTATTTTTGCATTTTTACATGTGTAATAAGATGCTTTAGGACGTCAGTCATTAAAATAGTTCATAAGTTAATTGAATAGATCATAGTAGACAAGTGAAAGTAAAGAAATAAAAAAATATATTAGAAAATTATTTTTCTCTAACGGATATCTAAAAACAATATTATGGTAATTGTTGGGCAGATGTTTTTAAAATATCTACGTTTCATCAGCTATCTAACGAGGTATAACAATCTAGGGTTTGTATTACATTTTGTGGAAAAAAAGTAGTTGGGACGCTCCAGGTAACAGTTCTAACGGTCCCGCGCCTATTGTCCTTCAAGTTAAGACGCACCAAGCGAGCGAGACAAGTGACGATTTATGTAGGTGCGAATGAAAGAAAAAATGTGTAGAGACCGGTTAGGGCTGGGAATACAACAGGGGGCATTGTTTGGTTGTCACTAGTTGTCAGTCTGCTTTTGTGCTTCGTACATAGTAGATGTGATATCGTTTTGCTCTTTTTCTCGACTTGGCTGTGATTCTGGACTATTTCTTCTGATTTGTGACTACTGTGCTTGTTAACCGGACTCTGATTTGTACCTGTGATACGGAAGTGTTGAAGATGACGTCCTACACACCTGAGGAATATGCTGATATGCTTATTTGTTACGGATACTGCAATTGTGTGTCTGCGCAAGCTCGCAACGAATACATAACTAACTCGCTACCCTGGTCGTCGAGTGCCGGATGTGGCCGTTTTTGACAGAGTTTATCGAAGACTTCGAGAAACTGGCTCTGTTTTGAGACGAAATACAGACATGGGAAGACCACGAATTGACGACGAAGAACAGGACAATGAGATAGTGCAACGCTTTCGAGCGGATCCGACTACTTCCACTAATATTGTTGCCCGTGATCTGGGACTTTCGCAATGGAGAGTGTGGTTTACAGTGCATACTGCTGGCCTATACCCGTACCATTACACGCCGGTACACGTTATTGAAGAAGGAGACCCCGCGAGAAGATTGGACTTTTGCAGATTTATGCTAAATGCTGACGTAGAAGACCCAGACTTTCTTTCTTTACTCATCCGTCCACAAGATATTGTGGACGGATGAGTCCAAATATGATAAAGATGGCATAACTAACTATCACAACGCCCATTACTGGGCCCCAAAAGAACTAAGGAATCCCAATAAGAAAAGAGTGAAGGGGTCCCAACGAAGATTCAGCGTGAATGTGTGGATGGGCATTATCTCCAATCATTTGATTGGACCTTTCTTTCTCCCGGATAATCTAAATGGGGAAAGCTACGAAAATTTCCTGAGAGCAGACTTGAGTGATTTGCTGGATGATCTGCCACTCATCCTGATCAGGGACATGTGGTTCCAACACGATGGCTGCCCTGCCCATTTCAGGAGAAGTGTCAGGGACTGGCTGGACACAAATTATCCAAACAAATGGATAGGACGAGGTGGGCCGTTGCCATGGCCAGCAAGAAGTCCGGACCTAACCCCCATGGATTTTCATGTGTGGGGGTGCATGAAAAGTCTTGTGTACAGCGAGCCGAATCCAGTTTCGTCTGTGGAAGACTTACGAGAAAGGATTGTGGATGCAGCAAATAAAATGAGGACCACGTTGACCACTGGAGTAGTGAAGACTGGTCTCCGTAGAAGGATGCGACAATGTATCAGAAATAGAGGCGGCCATGTTGAACATGAAACTGTAGAATAAGAAAAAGTTGTGTGAAAACCTTTAATAAATGAACATTTCATGCTTAACTATTGTTTTATTTTACTTTTTTGGGCTAAGTATAAAATTTTCTTCTCCACTGTCGCCTATGAAACTAAAGTTTTTTTCAATGCATTTGAATAAAACCTTAGATTATTATACCTCGTTAGATAGCTGATGAAACGTAGATATTTTAAAAAACATCTGCCGAACAATTACCATAATATTGTTTTTAGATATCCGTTAGAGAAAAATAATTTTCTAATATTTTTTTTTATTTCTTTACTTTCACTTGTCTACTACGATCTATTCAATTAACTTATGAACTATTTTAATGACTGACGTCCTAAAGCATCTTATTACACATGTAAAAATGCAAAAATAATAATAATAAGATGCACAAAATAAACAAAAATAAATCTAGTAGCCTAAAAATCAGCAAATTTCAATAAAAAAAAATTAAAAGACGATTATCTCGAAAAGGGTTAAGTTTAGGGTAGGGTGTTTCATAGTGAAATATGTCAGAAATGATGGGTACTCCACGCCCTTAACGGATCTAGCACGACTTTTCTTGTAACCCTGTGCATAAACTTACCTTAAACCACCATTACCTTTCATTTTAGTGAATTTGTTAAAGATGGTCTGTACCAAAAATAATTGAATTTGTAATTAGAAATCCAAAGAAAAGTGTTCTGGTAAATTCTGGTAATTGATTATCCAATTAGTTTAACTATGCCACACAACTTAGGACTGTTTTGTCTTTTCACTTAAGTACTCTATTTATTTATTTATATTTTTATTCTATGTTTTTAAATATAATACAATAAAAATATGTTGGTTAAATAATGAGTAGTCTTATCTAGTTGATACTTCCAGACAATCTTGTGTGTTTTGTATTGTCAAGTATAATTTTCGACTGTCTGTGATGTCCTAATATAGGTTTTAAATACCTTATACTATCTTCATATTACTATAATCACACTGCATGCATATTAAAAGAGATCTCGAATTCTTAAAATTTACAGAAGAGGATGATGGCGACACAGCATCTGAACTGGCTTCCACCATGAGTGAGAAAACCGGATACTCCGCAGCAACTGACACTTCCACCACACTGTCCGTCCAGGATGCTTTGAATAGTAAATATCAAACAGTAATTGTTTAACATTCTATAGATTCTTACATTAATTCTTTCCTATTTGCAGTCTGGAAAATAGTTCATCTCCCATTCCTCAATGCAACCATTATCCAAATACTGTTTTTTTTTTTCACACTGACTACTGACAGTAGTTTCTCAAAAACTATATACTTTTGTCGTATTGATCAATAAGACCCAAAGACAAAATCTTGTGCATTTCCAGTTCCTGGTATTAGTGAAAGTTTAGCAAACACATTGAAGCAGAAGGAATTATTGATGGAAAGAATAAAGCAGTATAAAGAAATAAGTAAAAGACCAATGACAAAACCTTCAGTTCAAACAGTTCGCAGAGAATCAGCCATAGACACCAAGATAGAACAAAAAAAGGTAATGTATCTGTATATATAAAGGTTATTATATAAAAAAGGGTGTATACCAGATTTTATTTCCTTAATACACACTCGCTCCCCTACCGCATGATGGTGACTACCTTGTAAATTAAAAATTAGTCAGGCTATGTAATATGAAATCAAAGGCATGAAGTTGCACAGCACTCCTAATCATTGGTTATTACTGCCTGCATTCCAGGTGGGAGAGATTTTTGTTCATGCATGCTGCATGCAGAAACATGCTTTCCTCATCAGTCGATGGGGCCAGCATGTTTGATGTTAAGGGTGCACGAATTCAAAATATAAATTGAAATTAAAAAAACTTGATCCCTACTGGCTTTACACCAACCGCTCAGTTTCATTGATTGTTAGGGGAATACCCGCATGCTGCCAAACGACTGAGATATCGATGGTGCATATTTATCACATATTCAGGGACTTCAGGCATGCGGTATAACAACTCGGTTAACGACCAATATGAATGAACTTAATACCTATCTTCCTCACTAATATGCTACGCAACAGGTTATGTAACATTACACTATGATAATTAGGAGCAAAGCAGTGACCATAAACACAGGTAAATCTACAGAGAACCGCAAAATCTATTGACAGCTAATAATTATCAGTCCTATTAGCCAGTTCATCAACAGCCTTTAGTAGTCCACTGCTGGACATGGCCTCTTCTTAGAAAAGAGGTATTGGCGTACTAAACCACGCTGGCCTGACGGGTTGGTACAGGCTTGTTTCAAGTTTTCCTTCTCTTTGCAGAGCTGTTGTCCTGCATAGTTTGCTCGGCATACTCTGTATTTTTAATCCACACGGACGTCAGTTAGATCAGTTTTATTGTATTGTAGACTTACATAAGGTATTATTTAATGTCTTCAGATAGAAGATAAAGTTGATGTAACACAACTTTTACATACAATCAAAGAAAAAGATAACTCTCTAAATGTGATACAAGGCAAGATGAAAGCAATGGAAACTACTATACTGGACCTACAAGAAAAGTTAAATGAAAAAGATCAAATCATTGAAGCCAAAAATAAAGCGATTACTCTTATGTCTGATAGTTTGAGTAAAAAAGGTTAGTCAAGTAAATTAATTTATTTATTACATATTGTAATCATAAGTAAAAAAAAGGTACTACTATTCTTGATTAACATTTTATGATAATAGAAAGAAAGAAGAACTTTTATTTTAATGACATTGCAACACAATCACAATACTATTGCACAGAATCAGAACATATAGAGTATTGTAACACGTAACGACTTAGAATATAATATTAAACACATTTGACATATTTGTAAATAAAATTAGAACGATTCATATAAATTTCTATATATTTTTACACATAACACAAAACCATAGTATATAGGTAGGTACCTAAGTTATTTGATATACAATTGCCTCACAGTGCTCATTAAAAGGAGATGTTGCTCAGTATAATGCTGGACCATTACGATACAGCAACTGATTTTCAGCTACACCTAGACAGTGATAGGTGCGTCTGAAATAGTCCAAATATTGAAATTTATGTTTCGAAATAATATTGGTAACCAAACACGAAGATTTTGAAAAAAAGTATTTACAGACAATTAATTACTGTTGTATACGAAAAATATATGTATATGTCAATGAAGAGTTAAATACTTAGCGATTTTAAATTTATTGGTAAATATTTCGTCTTAAGTTCTCGCAATAGTCGTTTTAAGTTCTCGCATAGGGGGAGGCAAGTCATTCCAACATTTTGTGGCCGTGTATTTAAAAGTTTTAAACCTAAACGCTGTTGTGTGTGAATCATCGCAAGATGATTAACACATTCAAGATGTGAACGGACGACCTAGTGGGATAAGTGTAACTATCTTGTGTCTAAAACAATTTATTAGATAAATATTTAGGCGTTTGGCTCCTTATTATTCCAAATATACTGTTATAACTTTAATGTTAGGCAACAATAAACCTCACTGTTTTTAATTTGTTAGTCATTTCTGCTGATTCTGTTGTTGTCATCACTAAACTAAAATTTCTCTAAAATTCTCTTATTTTAGTGAAGCGATTTACAAAATGGTATTCTGTTGTCAAGTCGAAATAAATTTCGTGTTCATTTGGCAGCATTAAATTTGAATCTGACATCACTAAAATTTAAAAAGAAAAGTGTTACATGATATTTTCATGATTTTAACATTCCTGTAAATGAATATAAATGCATAATATAGATATACAAAATGATGTATTTTCTCAGTCATAGCTAAGTGAATATAGTTTAACTCAGTTCACATACCTGGCAATCCGCAGTAAATCTTTTTTGTTATCTTTGTAACTAACTGAATACTTAAATTTATTATTTATTAATTAATGAAATAGGATTTGGGAACAAAATAGTTAAGAAACAAAATAAAAATCAAAACTATGTGAAAAGGCTTACTACATGGTTACATATTATTCAGAGATTTTGCTTGGGATTCCTGATGCTCACTCCCGCATTTAAGTTCCTATCATTGTTGTTGTGCTTGAAAGTGATAAACATTTAATGTACGAGGGCGGGTCAATAAGTCCGTGACTTTTGGAATAAAACACAGATTTTTTGATAAATAAATCATTTTATTTTTCAACGTAGTCTCCCTTGAGCTCTATACATTTTGTTCAACGCTTCTCCAATTTTTTTATTCCTTCCAAAAAATATGATTTGTCGAGGTCCTCAAAATAGGCCTTTGTTTGCGAGATGACTTCATCATTGGAGTCAAATCTTTTTCCACCAAGCCATTTCTTCAGGTTTGGGAACAAGAAGTAGTCACTAAGGCGGATGAGGGAGCAATTCATAGCCCAATTCATGGATTTTTGCCATGGCAACTGCACATGTGTGCACCCTAGCATTGTCTTGGTGGAAAAGAACTTTTTTCTTGGCCAAATGAGGTCGGTTTTTTTTTAAATCGTCATTGAATCGGTCCAATAAGTTGGCCTAATATAATTGATTGTTCTTCCCTTTTGAAGGTAGTCAATGTGGATTATCCCGCGTGCATCCCAAAAGACAGTCGCCATAACTTTATTGGTTGACAAACCCACCTTGGCCTTCTTTGGCGCCGATTCACCCTTAGAAACCCACTGTTTTGACTGTTGTTTGGTCTCTGGTGTGTTGTGATGGCTCCATGTTTCGTCCACGGTTACAAAACGGCGCAAAAACTCCTCCATATTGCGATTAAACAACGCCAAACCTTCCTGTGAAGTTGTTACACGATTGCGTTTGTGGTCGACTGTGAGCAATCGCGGCACCCATCTTGCGGAAAGCTTTCTCATGCCCAAGTGATCATTCAAAATTGAAACCACTGAGCCATGCGAGATCCCTACGGCTTCCACAATCTCTTGCACTTTCAATCTTCGGTCGGCCAACACCATATCGTGAATTTTTTCGATTGTTTCGGGTGAAGAGACCTCAACTGGGCGTCCAGGACGTTCGGCATCTTCAGTGCTTGTACGCCAACAACGAAATTCAGTAAACCACTGTTTTACCATTGAAATCGATGGTGCAGAGTCCCCAATTTATCCCAGAGTATTTATCAAGCTTAGCCTTGGTCTCGGTAATGTTTTTTTTTGGCAAAAAATAATGCTTAATAAGCACACGAAATTCACTTTTTCCATTTTTTCCTCAAATTACTGGGTAGTCTGATAAAGATAGCTGTCAAACACATACTAACTGACGCAGCAAGTTCAAATTTTGACAGGAGTCAACTGACAGATGCCTGTTGACAGGAGTAGTGTTGCTTTTTCAGTAAAGAGGTCAGAAATTCAAAAAGTCACGGACTTATTGACCCGCCCTCGTATTGTTGTATTTCGTATTTCGTTTGTTTCTAATTTGTTTATTTTTGCATTGAACTTGAATTGTATAGTTTTTTTTGTGTAAGTATTTAAATGTGAGTATATTGAAGGCTTGTGATGTTTGTTTATATTTAGTAACTTTCTGGTGGTTATGAGTGGTTTAGCGGCCTACTCAAATGTCCTGCTGGCGGTAGTGTTGCGGTTTGTAGATCTTGAATAGTATCGGTTAAACTACACGATAGCCGGGCCCCTATGCCGTCTGTATGGACAGGCCGACTCTAAACTATGATCCTTTCTTCAAAAGGCCTAACCAGACTCTACACTGTACTTGCACAGTTTTCCTTAACTTTGTTTACTTACGGGCTAAAAAAAAGACACCTTTGTGGGTTTGGTGTTTCTTTCGAGAGTGAGCCTTAGGAAATGCCGGCTGAACCTAGCTGTAAAGTCCGGCTTAAACATATCTGAAAAGATTTACTTACAGAAAAAAATATCATTTGTCATCAATCCAAATAAAAAAAAACATAACTTGGACCAAATATAATTAAATTAAGTAAAGGCGAGCGAGCGAAGTTTTCTAACAAGTAATAATTTTCAGAACAGTTTTTACAGCGAATATTCTTTCAATATGTGAATTATTAATATGGGCTTCTGTAATTATTTACTTAAAACTAAACACTGTTTACATCAATATTCATTCTATAGTTTTCTAACAGATCGCAGTTGCTATAGTCCAGTTGATAAAATATTAAAATATCCATACTAATATTATAAATGTGAAAGTGTGTCCGTCTGTCTTTCTGTCCGTCTGTCTGTGTGTTTGTTACCTCTTCACGCTTAAACCGCTGAACGACAATAACGCTAATAGACATAGGGTAGTTTTTATCCCAGAAAACATCCTTTAAGGGAGTGAAAAGGGGGGTGGAAGTTTGTATGGGGAAATCAATAACGGCTGAACCCATTTAGATGACATTTGGTGTAAAGATACTTTGATTCTCGAGGAAAGACATGGGCTCCTTTTTACCGTGATAACCGACAGTAACGCGGGCGGAGCCCTGGGTTATAGCTTTATAACTTTTGACAGATAGCATTAGTTATACAATAATATTCTAATAAAAATTAAAAAAATAAAATAATAATAAAAATTGCTAAAAGTAATATATTAATGATAGATCAAACCCAAACCTGAAAGTGTGATACCCAGTACACAATACTATAAAAATACATAGTCGTCACAAAATAAGAAGCCCGTTTTGACGTTTCTCATTTGACATGCCGCGATAACTTTGTATGAACGTCTATGTAAGAAATTGAAAAATCAAAGTCATAATCCTATTTAATTACTATGTTACCCATACACTATCACAATGCGTATCATAAATAAGCATCAAGTTTAACTTTATATTGAAAAAATGCACTCAAAAACACGAATTAATCGTTGATTAACATTCCGACAGGACTTTACTACAATGTCATGTCTTTCGGTTGGTTGCCGTAGTGTTGTAACCGTTAAAAAGCCGTTTTATGGCCGAATAAAATAGAGTTTTTGAAAATCGTTTACAAAAATTACATTAACCTCCGACGCGCCGCCGTCACAACAGTTGTGACACCAAATTTTTACGCGGTAGCGTCTCTGTCACAACATTTAGAAGAATATATATCAGGGATTCCAAATACGTTTATTTCATTGAATATAATTATAAAATAACGTAGATATTGAGGTAATAATGACCTCGCTCAGCTGTGACTGGGTCACTAGTTCAAGGGCGCGACAGTAACGGGTCATAGGTCATCCGCGCGCCGCGACGTCCTAAGAGTTAAAAAAAGAGATAAATGTGTAATTAGTGTATTATTTAATATTCAAACATATAAAAACAAAATCTGATCACATATAGTTTTAGCTTTATTTTGATATTTAATATGAATATTTTGATATTATACTAAATGATTTGGTTAAAAAACCCGGAGTGGACTCCGGGTTTTTTAACCAAATCATTTCATCATTATATTGAAAAAAAATATTCACCTCATTTTTCTGTCTCAAACGTCATGTCTCATTTTGCAACAGTCACATTTGACAACAGTCCTTAAAAGTCAGTCTATAAAAGAATTATCAAAGCCGTACATAATTTGTTTCCTTTCTCTATGTACCTATAGAATGGTTTGTCTATGACATAGCGGCACGAGATCCATGCGCGTACCGCGTACTGCGCAGTCTTTCGTTCGATATCTTGTGACTGTGCGCTCGTTTATGTTTGATATTTTTTCTAGACTCGGCTTTGCTTTTGGACTGTTTTTGTTTACTATCACGTTGACCTTGGCTCTTCCATTCCGGACATTGATTAGACATAGCGATTTGGACTCGATTTTGGTGTTTGTTGTTATATTGTACAAACTCTGTTTCAACATGTCGAAAAGAGGACGTACAATCAACAGCCAATCACGCGAATTGGTTGTGAAGTTAACCGAATACTTCGATCGCGAATCAGTTAATGGTGGACCATTATTACCCGTAACTCAAGTGCAAGATCGCGTAGCAGAAGCACTTGGAATCGGCAAAAAAACTATTCGAACCATTTTGAAGGAAATGTATGGGTCTTCCGGTACTGAAGAAAATGTGTTACATACGCCTGTAACAGGTATTGACACATTTGACGCAGATGCTATTCGAAACCACGTATATGCTTATTACACGAGAAGTGAGTACCCAACTGTAAGTAAGTTGGTGGTATCACTAAGAGAGGCTGGCCTGTTTAGTGGCAGTGCAACATCTTTAATAACAATTATGAAGCAAATTGGTTTCAAATACAAGAAAACCGACAAGAGGAAAATTATGATGGAACGATATGATAAAATTTTGCACAGAGTATCATTCTTGAGGCAAATGAACAAAATTACAAATTGGGATAATGTCATATTAATCGATGAAACTTGGCTGAACTCGAATCATACCGTGCCACAGTCATGGACGGATGATACCAAGGCTTCTTGTTTAAAAGTGCCAATGGGTAAGGGTGGACGCCTAATAATCTGCCATGCCGGATCAGCCGGGGGAGGTTTTGTGCATGATGCTCTACTCGCATTCGAGTCCAGAAGTACAAAAGAATACCACGAAGAAACGGATTGGAATTCTTAGAGTGGTTTACTAAGTTGTTAATAAACCTCCCCGAACAGTGCACAATAATTATGGATAATGCACCTTACCATTCAGTTCTAATAGATAAGGCACATACTCAAGCAAGCAAAAAGGCAGAATTAGTGGCGTGGTTACAAAGAAAAGGCGTAGAAGCTGACATGAATTTATTGAAAGCTGAACTGCTGGAATTAGTAAAACAAAATAAACCTGCAAAATTAAGATATAAAATCGATGAATTGGCACTTCAACATGGTCACAAATTGATAAGAACGCCGCCGTACCCTTGTCAGTACAATGCTATTGAATTAATCTGGGCTCAGGTCAAAGGATACGCAGCACGTCATAATACAAAGCCACCATTCTCCACTAAGAATATGATGACATTGTTAAAAGAAGCTTGTGATAAAATAACTAAAGAAGATTGGGCAAAAGTGGTAGAAAAGACGCGAAAAATAATAAAGGAAGATTATGATAGAGACGTCAATATTGATAATATTATAGAAAATGAAATAATTATATATACAGGCGACGATAGCTCATCTGGCTCGTCATCAGAAGAAAATGATTGATTTCACTTTTCTTGATTTTGTTGTGATTGAGCTAAATTTTTAAATTAGAGACAAATTGACATTTCTTTCCATTGTATCATTTCAAATTGCCTATAAAATTAAAGTTTAAGTTATATATTCGAATTATAACTTAAATCCAATGCACTTTGTGATATATAGTCAAATCAATCAAATACTCTACAAGCTTGAATCGATTTATCGTAAGTATCGTGCACCGAGTCGTATGGTTAATCACTAGTTACGCCACCATGACAAATGTCAAAACGGGCTTCTTAGTTTGTGACGACTGTAGATTGATTGTTCGCTTAGCTCACCCTGATATTTTTTGTGAATTTTTTTCATTAAAAATAGTCTTGCCCTGCAGCAGCTTGGTAGCTCCCTTAAGCAAAGAATTGAAATTGTAAATTGTAGATTCAACCTAAAAAATAGGTTCAATGTGACAAGTAGTTTGTCTAAGCAAAGCCTAGGGAGCCTAAAAAGTTTCTGACACTTCTACTCTCTCCTCTCAAATGGATTGGAGTTGTCTCAAATATGCTTAAAGCTTCTTTAGTTTCTAAAAATAATACATAGGGATACTTTAATAAAACAGGCCAACAAAGTTTTTGCCCAGAAACCATAGTATACTTTCCTGATGGATATTGGTGCGCTAAATCCAAATCCAGAGATATTCTAATCTAAAAGTGCAAAAAAAGCTTAGGTTAAGAATATTTAAATAACCTGACGTGATAGAGTAATTCTGTGGCCGAATTTGGATTCAGCGCACCAAAATCCTTCGGGAAAAGTATACTCTGGAAACTTTGTCAAATTATTGTTGGCCTGTGTAATCCAGATAAAACACATAAAAAATTGTATACTTGTGTCTGATGAATAATATTATGCACATACCTTGCCGCTAAACTGACCAGAGGCAAAACTATCTAATCACTATTCATCATAAGAAAAAAGAAAAATTTAAAGAATTTATACTCACACGGTCTAATCATAATTACCAAATGAGTCGGCATGTATTTAGTACATCTAATTTTAGTATGACATTCCTAATTTTAGTCAGTGTAAGGCCTTTAGAGTGTACAAAAGAATAACAGTTAACCAATTATTGACTAATTCAAGTAACATAACTAAGTCAAACTAAATATAGTTAAGTCCTACGTTTTCAGAATAGGTTCCTATTCTCGTCGTTTGACGGGACTAATTTTTGTGATTTTTAGTTTAGTGAGTTTTTCAACTAAAACAGTGTTTGTATGTTTTGTAGTATTTACTATAAGTTATTGATTACACTTTTTGTTAAGTTGTTGTTTTGTCAGTCAAGTTTTAGCAATATCCCAGAGAGGTTAAGCTTCCTCTATTTCATTATGCTCTTATAACTGAATAATTTGTTTAAAAAATAACCTAGGTTTAAAAATATAATTAGTATAACATTTTAGACATTCATTACAAACTTTATGTTTTAGAAAAAGATTCTTTAATATTACTGGAAGATACAAGGCAACAAATGACTAAGATGCAAGAAAATTTTATTGCCATGGAAAGTGAGTGGAAGGAAGAAAAATTACAATTATTAAAAGAAATTGAAGTGAGGGATGAAAAAATTAGTAGTTTAGAAGAGGCGTATTCTATTCTAGAATCTTCAAGGTTTGAAATTAGTGCATCCCATTCTAAATTATCCGAAGAACTGGAAGCAAAGAATGTAGAAATATTAAAATTAGAAGAAAAGATTGAAAGTTTATTACAAAAATCAAAAGAAGAAGCTAGTCTCAAAGAAAAAGATGATGTTGAAGAAGAGAAAGGTTCTCTGGAAATAGCTGGCATGGCTGAGTTAACTAAGAAAATTGAATTATTGGAGCAATTAAACTGCCAGATTAGACAAACAAACAAGGAACTTGAAAATAAGCTAGCGAATGTAAACACTGAAAATAAGACACAGAGTGCTAGTGCTGCAGGTAAAAAGGGAAGCCCACTGCCCGTGCGCAAGGGTAGGAACACTGCATTGAAGTCAAAATCACCTTGGAGTCAACTATCTTCAGAGTCTTTACCACAAGAAACAGATAAAAAGGCTGCAAAAAGTGAAATTGCGAGACTCGAAATGTTAGTACAATCCCTCAATAAAGATATCCTTGAAAAAGAATATGTAATATCTCAGAAGGAAACATTAATTAAAGAACTAAAAACTGCGTCCTTTACAACAGAATCAAAGGATACTATTGAAATTGGTGTGTGCACTGATTTTGTAGAAGACAGTAAAAACTTACAACATACACATGCTAAAAATCAAGAATCGGATTTGGAATCAAGTCCTTTTGATGAAACTCAATCAGAAATAGTTAAGGATCTACATGAGAAATTAAATGCTGCAGAAGAGCAGATTGAAACACTCCGAAAAGATATAGAGGCAGCTAACTTGAATATGATCAAAGTAAAATCTGCACATAAATCAAAAGTAAAAGAGTTACAGAAAACTATTGACGGTTTTGGTAAAGTGTCTGATTCAAATGCTGAAATGCTTAAGACTCACGAGCTTCAAAATGAGCTGCAACAGCTTACACGTAAAGTTGCTGTTCTAGAAGAAGAAAAGGGTAACCTACAATTGGATCTTGTAGATTACGCCAGTAACAGATGTAAGTAGTTTATTTCAATGATTTTTAAGATTAAGGTAATCTTCTTACTTTAAATGCATATAAATTTTATTTATTAATTTTTATAACTTTATGCACTGTTGCACATCAAGATCATGCGGACACAAGAGAAGTAAATTAATTGCAGAGCGAAGATGTCTATCGTGATTAGACGACGGACGACTTTTATTTATTATACTTTTTTCGAAAATATTGCTTAAATTCTTGAAAAAAAGTAAATTAGTTATGAAATTCATTTTGTGAGATGGCTAAAAATATTGTTTTGATTATTTTTAGTAACTGAATCAGACATGTGTATAAAATTGAAGGAATCAGAAAGTTTAGCAGAAACAAGACTTAAAGCGATAAGCGTTCTGGAGGCGCAGAAATTTGATTTGGTTCAAGGTATGAAACTAGAAGTGTACACGTAATATGTAGTAAGTTATTTTTTTAAATTAAGTATAATGTTTTATTTTAATTTTCAGAGTTGCATGTGTTACAACAAAAGAATATGGATATGGAAGACAAACTAGCAGATATATCGCAACTTCAGAGTGAGCATGTTTGTACTGAGATGAAGTCTGTACAAATGGAAGAACAAATTGATGGCCTTATATCTGCAAGAAAAGAATTAGAACTAGTCATAGAAAATTTGAAATTGGACAAAGAGCACCTAAATGAAACAATAAAAGGTCTTCAAGATGAGAAATCTGAATTAACACAGAAACTAGAAAATTACATACAAGAAAATATTGAGTTAACTGACAAGCTGGAAAAATTAAGTGCTGAAAAAGTAAGCTCAGCAGAATCTATTGAAATTGTTGAATCATTAACCACACAAGAAAAGCTTGAACTTGAAGAATATAACAAAGGCATTTTTGTTGGTAAGGCTGACGAACATACAGATGAGAATATTTCCTCGCAAAATGACAAAAATATAGACAGTTTAATTGAACAAAGAGAAGAATTAAACAAAAAAATTGAATTATTTACTCAAGAAAGGGAAGAAGTTATGGAGAAAATGTCTAAAATCAAAGACGAAAATGAATCGTTGCTCTCTAAAATCGCCGAATTAAATGAACAAAGTAGTATTTTACAAAGAAGCATAGAAGGGCTTAGTAATGAAAAAAATCTGTTGCAGAACCTCAACCAAGATCTTTTGCAACAGATTGAAGACCTTAAACGAGAAAGAATTGACATCATGAAAGAAACTGCCGAAATTGCCAAGCCGACGGAAGAGGTATCCGATGGAGTACCTGTTGAGGTACAACATGACGACAAAACATCAACCGATAAAGGAGCTAAGGGAGCCAAAACAGTTAAACAGTTAACGAAAGAAATACTGAAACTTAAGAATACAATAAAAGAAAGAGAAGATGAAATTGCTGATTGCCAAATGAAAATTCTTTCTCTAGAAGAACAACAACAGAAGCAGTCTGAATCATTGCAGACCAGTGCATCAAATGAAAACAAAATAAAATCATTAGCAGAAGAGAACAATCACCTTAAGCAAGAATTACAAAATGCAAAGAAAGATAGAGAAGCTGAACATAACTTACTTCAATTAAAGCAATCTCACGATATGTTACAGCAAGAATTACAAAAAGTTCATCAGGAATATTCTATTTCGGTAAATTCACGTGACGCCAGAATAAATGAATTAGAAAACGTATTGTTGGAGTATGAAAAGCAAATGTTTAACTATGGCAACAGTCTTCAACAAAAAGACAAGGAAATTTCTGAATATATTAATCAAATAACCAAGTTAAATGATGTTTCTCAAAAACTGAAATCTACCATTGAATTACTTGAAGAAGAAAAAGCAAAAGATCAAAATGGTGAACTTGTGAAAACTCTAAACAAACAAATAGCAGCTTATCAGAAAAAGCTATTGGAAAATGAAGAAAAACTTAAGGTTCTGGAAGAAGAAAAAATGCAGTTGCACATTATAAAAAGTGAATTAGTAAATAAAAATACTAATCTTGAAGCTGAGTTAGCAATACTAAAAGAAACCTTTTCTGAAAAGCAAATTATGATTAAAGAATTACAAGCGTTACAACAAAAGCACACTGAAGAAATGTCTGCTAAACAATTAGAAACTGTTGAGCGTGATGAGGAAATTCACGAAATTAAGTTACAGTTGAGAAAAGAATCAATTGAAAATGAAAAACTTCATAATAGTGTATCTGAAAAGGAAAAGAAAATAAATGATTTGTTCAAAGAATTAGATGAAACTAAAGAAAAAGTAATTGAATTATCTAACGAGAAAAATCAGTCTTCTGACCAATTTATTGCATTAGAAACTAAAAATAAAGAACTTTTGGAGAAACTTAAAAAGTTGGCTATCAGTATAAAAAAGAAAGCAATAATACACGCTGAACTAGAAGCAAATTATGGCGAATGTCAAAACCAGCTAACAACAAAACAAGAACAAATGGATCAGTTGCTTATACAAGTAGAGACACTCCCTGCACTGCAAGATAAATTAAAACATGCTGATGAGGAAATAAATAGATTGCAATCACAAAAAGTAACAATAGAACAGCAAAGAGTTCAAGACCTAAACCATTTACACAGTGAAATGAAATCTTTACAAGAAAAATTCTTCCTGTCGTCAAAAGAAATATCACAGCTGACTGATTCCTTGAATACATTACACAAAGAATTGCTCTTTAGCCGTGACGAAAATGAACACCTTAAGGCGCAGCTTGATTCATTAAATAAGAAGTTAGTTGAGCATGAAATAGAACAAAAGAATAATATGAATTTAATAACTAAAATATCCAGCTTAGAAGCTGACATTAATCAGAAACAAAGCCAAATATCTGAATTACTTAGTAAAATTGAACATCTTGAACATCAACAGACTCAGGCGCAATACGGCTACGATGCCAAGGTTCAAGAACGAGATCTGTTTATTGAAAACTTGGAAGCTGAAACGAGCAAGTATAAGAATCGTATTTGTCGACTGGAAGAAAGTATATCTGTTATGGAGGATCGAAGACACTCCCTTGAACGTAAAGCTGATCAGTTAGGTAATCAGTTACAAGAAAAACAAAAAGCCTATACTGAATATAGTAGTCAGGAGGATGAACTAGTGACTAGGTTAGCTGCACTTATGGATCATGACAGAATACTGGAAAAACAACTTTTTGAAATTGAAAATGAAAATAAAGAATTGCAATATAAAGTTCACCACTTAAATGAAGACAATCAAAAGCTGAGAAAATCTCTTTCGGATATGCAAGAACACTATAACGTTTTACTCGATAAAGCAAACAAATTCGATTCTGCTGAATCTGAAATCTCTAAATATGAGGTTCAGCTTCGAGATCTTGAAGCAAATTTCAAAAGGGTTACTCATGAACATCAATCATTGATAATGAAAAAGAAACAGGAAATTGAAGAATTAGAGGCTGAATTTAATACACAAATCGAAAACGCCTTTAAGGAAAAGAAAATCCTTAGTGAGAAGTATGAAAAAGTTAATGAATATGTTTCTCAGTTGGAAGCTAAACTACAGGAATATAAGACGAATATTGAAACCTTAAATCTAAATGCTAATGAACTTAGTAGACTAAATCAAGAACTAAATGAAAAGTGTTCTAACAAACATAATATTGTGACACCTGATTACACAGAACAATATATATGTGAAATAAATAGGTTAAATTCTATAGTTAGCAGCAAGAGTGATGAGATCTATGAGCTCAAAAACAAAATACAAAGTCACCAGACTAATAATGTTGCTGTAGTATCAGACTTTGAGAGCAAAATATCAGAGATGGCCATCAGGATGAGAGAGAAACATGCAGAAGTGGAGAAATTAACTCTAGAATTAAGTTCATTACAGCAGGATAATGTACAACTACATAATGCGTTAGCCACCAAAGACCAACAGATTAAAGAATTGTCAGATAACAAGAAATTAACCTTTGAAATGAATATTCCTAAAACAGAAGGCATGTTGATTTCTTCTACTATAGAACCATTAAACGATGGGAATATTGATGTATCCTCTATTGATTCACAAATAGTTTCTGGTATAACAGAACCCTCTTTGGAAAAAAAACATAGCACCAAAAAAGTTCAAGAATCTTTAGTAAAACAATCTCCAAGTGGACAAATTGAGGAACCCTTAATTTCTCCTAAAAAAGCGTATATTTGCTATACAAATGAAGATGATAATGCTCCTGTCGAAACAGATCCTTTTAATTCAGATGAAGGTTGGGGCTTAGGGGAAAATGAGGAAATCGGAGAAGTTACACCTGGTTTCTCACACCTTAACAATCAAATAGAACAACTTAAAAAAGAAAACGATACTCTGAAAGGCGAACTTCAGACAAATAATATTAAATTGTTGAAAGCGTTGAAGAAGTTAAAAGAGTTAAAAGCTACCAATGATATGTTAACTAATGAACTTAAAATAGTGAAACAAATGTCTCAAAGTGCCTTCTTTGACAATGCTATAGAAGATGAATTGCGATTAAATATAACTGAATTAGAAAAGAAAATTGAGGAGCTAAATGTAGAGCTTGCTAAAGAAAAGCGAGATAAAGAGTCACTGCGAAAACAAAACGAAGTCTTCCATAATGCCAATGATAGATTAACTGAAATCAAAGAGAAATTAGATACTGAAATACACGTATGGAAATTTAAATTTAAAGAAGCCAATGATAAAATTTCTACTTTGCAATGGGGTGGAGAAAGTAGAGAACCCACTGAGTTACGTCAATCACACCTTTCTACAATGGATGAGAGCAAATTCAAAGATGAACTTAACAAGGTCGAAAAGGAAAATGAAGAATTGCATGCAATGGTTGATCAGTTAAATACTTTAACTCAAGAACTCCAGTCTCGGGAAACACTACTACAAAATAAAATAACTAGTCTTAATGAACAAGTACAACAACACAAAGGAACTTGTGAAAACTGCCTTTTACTTCAAAATCAAATTGAAGATCTAAATAAAACTAAAAATGAATTAAGGAAAAATAACGGTTTGTTAACTGAAAAGTTACAAAATGTGGAAATGCTATATAAAGAGCAATTAGAAAAATATCATAGCTTAGAAGCTCATTATGAAACCATGGCAAAACAACTTGAACAGCAGAAATCAGAACTATTCCATAGTAGTAAATTTGAGGAAATTCAAGTTAAAGTAAAGCAATTAGAGAATGATAAATTAGAATTATTGGACATAAATAGTGCATTACAAAAAGAACTAGCTGAACATAATGAAACTAAAACTAACAGCCTAGAATTATTAGAAAAAAATAATAAGTTAGAAGAAGTGTTGTTATGTCAAGAAAATGAACGTACAGAATTAATAGACAAAATTAATTCCTTACAAGAAGAGGTAAGAAAATTGCATGAACATGAGGGTCGGAATGTAGAATTACTTGATAATAACATTAAATTAGAAGAAAAAGTCCTGGAACTAAACAAGTTACAATCTGAAGCCCAATCACACATATTATCTTTAGTTTCTGAATTAGAAAATACTAAATCTAAAATAAACTTACACAAGTTGGAAGAAATAAATCCAAACATTCAAAATGCCGATAACTTCGCATTAGTGGAAAAGTGTAGTGCTATGGAGCAACACCTTCTGCAGTTTCAACATAATTTAGAGGCAGCCAATTCCAACATATTGCAATTACAGTCTGAAAACCATGAATTAACATTAAATTCCAAACAATATTTAGAACAAATAAATGAACTCAATTTAAAAATACAAAACTTGAATTCTGAAAATGATAACTTGTTATCCACTGTTACTGAATTACGTTCTTCAGTATCGAGCGCTATCGATCAGCGTGGTTTTGAGATAGCAGAACTATGGAAACAACATTTAGCCCAAAGAGAATCTGAGTTCGAAAAAATTGAAACCGATCTAAGGGCAGAATTAAGTGCTTCAGAAGTTAAATATGAACAGTTACTTGAAAACGTACAGTCAGCCAGCCAAGAAGAAACAAACAAATTGGTAATAATGGAACAATTGAACTCATTGCAAAAAAAAGTAGAAGACAAAGAAGAGCATATACGCAGCTTACAAACTAAATACGCTGAAACTATGAATCAAATGGACATATTCCGTTCAGAAATGGAAGATGAAAGAGTGGCACATGAAAATAAATTACTTGAACAACAAGAGGAATATGAAAAGATGATTCAAGAACTCACAGTGAAAAATTATAAACATTCTGAAACTTATGAAGAAACATTCAAAGGTGTTCAAAATGAGTTATTGATGTACAAAACTAAAAATGATGAATTGAATCAATTAATTGAAGATTTACACCGTAAGTTGGAAAATCTAGAAGGTAATGTTACCGATTTGACTAAGGAGCTAAGAACTAAGGAGAGTGAAATATATCAAAAAACCCACGATTATACCATTGCATTAGCAGAACGTAATGAAGAATTTGAGCATGTTCGGAAACAACTTATTGATTACGAAAAGAAAATAGAAGAATTGACATACGAAAAGGAATCCGAACTAGCTGTTCTTAGGTTAAAAATGCATGAGAACGAAACTCACTATCAAAGCGATAACAATAAAGCGAAAGCAGAAAAAACAAGCTTATTAGAGGCACTAAATGCCAAAATAATAGAATGTACAAATCTCAATAAACAAATAGTTGATTTAAATCAAGAGTTAAAGACCCATGCATCAAAAGCTGCAGAAATGGAAGCGGCTTTAGAGAGTCAGGAAATCGAAATAGTTGGTCTTAAAGATGAAATAATGAGTTTACAGAGTTCGATGCGGACTTCAAGCGGAAAAATCCAGAAACACGTATCTTTTGCATCTGATACCAAACTTGGTAGTGACAACAACAAATCTGACTTAAACAAAGATCTTCTCGACGCTGTGCCCAGAGCTGAGTTAGACTTAGCGTTATACATGTTACATCAAAGAGACGTTCGATGTGAAGAATTGACGATGGAGCTAACACAACTGTTGGAGGAGAGAGACACGTTACAGTTACGTTTATCAGATAGTTTGCGTTTGAATGAAGAGTTAAAGATGAAATTAAAACTTGGTGGTTTGGATGTGTCGTTAGAATCTAGTCAAGAGACAATATCAGAGTTGCCCAGTTTTACAGTGGAGAAAGAATTTATTGATATACATCGCGGTCAGACATCACGTAGCAACAGCATAAGCGATCCCGACTCAGAAAAGCCGAAATTGCAAGCTAAGTGAGTTTTATTCATTATATTTGGAGTATTTTAGGTTTGCGCGGCTTCAAAAAAGTTTAATAAAAAAAACACATTTTGCAACTCGTCAAACTTCACATTCATCGTTATATGCTAACACTCGGTTGATAGTTTTATTAGTTCTAATATTAAATTATAAGGGGCAAAGGGATTGGTTTTGCATAGGTATTTCTATTCAAAATTTTCAACATAAAAGGAGGCGATATGACCAAGTATACTATATACTTGGTCATATCGCCTCCTTTTATGAAAAATATATATATATATGAAGCAAGTGTATTGTTAGCGTATTTTATCATTACGTAATTCTCTATAAAGATATACAGCTGTGAGTAAAATAAAACATTCATTTACTACAGGTTGACGGAGTTACGCAGTGTGAAACATAGTCGAGACGTGCGACTCCGACAGGACAGTGAACAGCGGCAACTAGACTTACGGCTACTGCAGCGAGACGTCGCCAATCTCCCACCGGAAGCCGTCGACCAGCTTGCCCAGGCGCACCACACCTTATGTAAGTTTATTACTATTCTAAATATCTGTTGGAAACTATACAACCCGTTAAAAAAAGTATTGTTAATTTTTAATGCCATCAGTACGTTACCTAAAGCTTTCAAAATTATAGAAAAACTTGAGATTTTAAAACACAAACCTTATTCTGTGAATCTCAACATTGAAAAAAAAACTTAGTAATTTGTTCTTAAAGCTAATAGGTATATTTATAAAAAGGTGATTAATCCGAATAGGAAGGATTTTGATTTTGACGGAAACCAATTGTTTTTGTCATCCAAAGAAATATAAAAAAAAAGTGTTTCGGATATCTTTTCAAAATGATCGATTTTTTTTTATAACACTTGCAACTACTTCCTGCTTTTTGACAGTAAACTTAATACTTACTACCGTCTCACTCACTTACAGCACATGATATTTCACTAGGAATAACGTTCCTTTTACTATTTTTATTAAATAATAATTATTTAAGAAAAATATTAGAAGTAACGAACGAAATACGACATACGAAATACGACAACCTATAGTAGGGATTCTAATTGTTTCCGCCTAATGTTCACGTGGTACGGTTTGTCACAGATTAGCCACGTTGAATGTCAATGCTAATCCTATACAAAATAATACTATAGTTTATTCGCGTTAAGAAAATAATGACGCAACGATCAAGCCCGCACCCTGACCAATCAAGTCCAAACTTTTGTATGAAACGATAATTTCTTAGAACCTGGTTAGTAAAGGGATGGGGCTTGATCGATGTTGTGTAATTTAAATATAATAATTAAAGTACATATGTCTATTTCAGCTCGGGATTCACAAAGCACGCCCACTGTTCTGCTAAACTGGCTCCGAGGGAAAAGTACACCAAAAGTAGTGCATATGTGAGTCTCGCATTTATAGCATATATCGATTATTGGTACGCGACCAATAGCCGAACCCCATTCCACGTCATTTTTTGTAAAAATTGCAGCCTGTATAAACTTTAGGTCCAGTAGATCACTCTCTTCTAGTAGATATCCTCATGAGCTGATCTTTACTTGCATTTATTAAGAGCCACCACTAATTCTCACAATTTTCAAATGTTTCGCTAAACATTTAGATGTAAATTGTGGCCATAGAATCTTGCCAACGACGGTAATCAAACGGCATTGTGCTAATCATATGCCTCCTATATCTTTCCTTAGTGCTTCTAAATCCTTATTATCATATATACAGTAGCCGTCACGTCTTGAGTATAAATTATATATTTTATTGATTTAATTTGTGCTCAAGATTATATTCTTTGTTAATTATCTTGTATTATTTAATTGATTCTCTCTCTCTTTTCACTTTGAAAGATTGATTGATACATTGTTATATCATAGCTTAGTAATAAGTTTCTTACAAAACAAAGTATTGATTTATTTTTAATGAAGCTACTGTAATCTGGCAAATGACGTTTGATTCGACGAATTTTATGTCCCAATCCTTAGCGTATTTGTCCTATTGAAAAGTAGTTATTTATAGTGTATTTTTCAATGTTTAAAATCGCATTGGATCGATCAGACGATCGGACATAAGAGAGCTTGAAATATATTGGCAAGTACGAACGAACGACGAATTAAACCATTACTTGTTGCGCTTACTGCATTCCCCCTTTCCTATTCTATCTCAAAAAAAAACCAATGCAAATATTTTTAACCAAACAACATATTTCTGTCGTGCCGATACATCTAAATTAATGCTGTTTTATAAAAATATTTCCAATACCTTCCCTAGTAGACGATCACTGTATTTTTTTGTTAGTGTTGCTAGCCTCGATAAACCTTTCTTTATTGTTCCTGTTTTGTTTTTTCCTATAATTAAGTACTTATTAAATTAATCTGTATAACATTAAAATGTAAATGAACTTATAATTGCGACGCCATATTTTTTCTTTAATGAGAATTGAGATTTCAGAATGATTAAATCGTGCCTTTTCATTAATTATTAATATTGTAAATGTTATTATTGTTCACGTTAGACCACTTTGTAACATGTATTATTGAAATTCGGAACCTGTATAATTTATGTGTATATATTATTCAATGGATTCTGTGTGATTGAGAATCCTTGTATATTCAATTTGTAAATTTGTTTCTCATTAAACGGTCTTTATTTGATACCTTGTTTTCTTTACTAATTAGAGTTGCAGATTGAATGCGACCATTTCTTAAAGCTAGATAAAAGTGGGGCCAAACCACAGGTCATTTCTACACCCTATTTATATCTGTTGCCTTCCTTGGTACCTGTCTAGGATTTTTTTACCCAAAAACGTACTGTACGGTGCGACTATCATTTCTTTTCTCGAAACAATAGGATAGTTTCCTATGAATAGAATAATTGATTAACAGTCACCGTGCAATTACATATAATACTAGCTGACCCGGCAAACGTTGTATTGCAAAACAAAAAAAAATAAGGATGGGTCACCCTTACCATTTAGGGGTATGAAAAATAGATGTTGGCCGATTCTCAGACCTACCCGATATGCACACAAAATTTCATTAGAATCGGTCAAGCCGTTTCGGAGGAGTACGGGAACGAACATTGTGACACGAGAATTTTATATATAAGATAAGACTGGCAAACTACGAGTATATTATTTACTGTTTTCAAGGTTCGTATTATATGTTAATTGTTAAACCGAATATTAGAGTAAATATTTGGCGATAGTTTAGGTATGATGTCATAACCTCTTACTTTTGTTTAATATAAATTGGCCGGCTCGACCGGAGTGATACCACGGCCTCACAGAAAACCGGTGCTAAGCAATTCTTTCGTTGCCTTTCACTGAGTGAGTGAGGTTACCGGAGCCCTCCCGCTGACTTGAGCGGGAGGGACTCCAAGGGCAGCAACGCACTTGTGACTTTTGAGGTGCAGGTGTCCATGGGCGGCGGTAGTTGCTTACCATCAGGTGACCTGTCTGCTCGTTTGCCCCCTTACACCATAAAAAAAATCCTATAGAAACATTGATGTTTATTAAAGAACTAAATCAATTTTTTTCTGGTTTGACCCGACAACATTTAACAACGGTATTGTAATCTTTATCCATAATCTTTTTGATAACTTATCTAAATATTATCCGTTTCACAATAAAATAGGGAGATGGTATAATAGTATTTAATAATATATCAGGATAATAAATTTTAATTTTTTATTATTTTTCTTTAGATATATTTACACTCCCAACAACTTAATTTCTACTATAATCCAATATGTCACTTAAATAAACACTAAAAAATTAAATCACAATACAAAATCAATGTAATAAAAATGTTTTTGTCACACTTTTTTTAATTTTGGTCCTTACATAATAATAAAAATCGTTTACAGCGCGATTTCTAGAGCTACATTTAATAGTTTTCTCTTCTCTAAACTTTTAATCTGATATAATATATATTTAAATCGCATTGTCAGAAAATAATATGCTCCATCCACATTTTAAAATTCTACTTCATATTAAACACACTAAATTTCTTAAACTATTTCGAAAAATAGCATTAAAATAAGACTAACTTCGTAATGCGTATGTTTTCCCACATATTTTTTATATACAATCTAATATATTAAGAATATATTTCTATTAGGCAGTATGTCTGTCAGTGTATTCGGTACCTAAAGCATAGGTATTCTATAACTCCACAACCAAATGTGTGAACAAAACATATATATATACTAAATTTCTAAGAGGATAAACCAGATATTGATACTGAAATGTTCTTGTTATCATTAGCTAATCATTTCAAACATTTAAATGCCATGTCCATGCTATAGTATAAAGGGTATCCATCGAATTTTAAAGTTACAAAATGTAATAAATCAGTAGACATTATGTGCATTTAATTAATCCTTTAGCATTTTAACTTATGGCACCATATGCTTACAGCATACTTATAGAATACTATTTACAAGTTATTCTAAAATATTTACATCAACACCAGATCGTAAAATAATGCGTATGTAATATAACAAAAGTAAGAAAACTATAAAAGTATAAACACGAACTAAAATTATTTCACTGACTTTCTGTCTGATTCTCTAACATTCATGGAAGACACTGGAGTGATTTTTTGTGTACTTTATATATAAAATATAAGATAAAATAAAACTTAATGTGCACATCACTACCAAGATGCTGATTAGCTAACTAGTTTTAATATTAATATACTACATCTTTTAACCGGCGCTCACTTACTACTACTGTTTTTAACTTTTCTATACTCTTACTTAATTTATTTAACTTAACGTTAATAACTATGAAGATATTTTATCACAATTTTTAATTAAAGTTATGTGCGTCTCCAACTGGTACAGTCAAGTCGCAACATTAAGTACAAAAAGGGGAACATGATGACTATTGCGTATATGTTTAGGTGATTGCTAACATAGGAACGATTGTGTCAATTTATTAACTAAGTTTTATAATCTACGTCTTAAGCATGATCACAATGTTTTTTTTTTAATTTTAGTTTTACGAATATCCGAAGTTGTCACTGGTACTTCTAAGTTAACATATTATGACTGGAAGTGACTATGATATCAAGTTAAATTAAAATATATAACACTTATCACAATATTTTATAAACTAAACAGAAAGGAACAAACGTTAAATCAATTTGCTTACATACATAGATATAAAAGTGAAATACCCCAGATAATATACAGCCCCCTTGTCGATCAATAAACTATTTTATTTTTATTACTCATGTAGATATTTTGCACTCAAGCTAATTTAATACATAGATCTGACTCTGTAATTTGTTATAAATATAATATGTATTGACAGTAATATTAGTTTATACAAAACAAGCGTAAATTATTGCCTTCCCCCAATACAATGAATTTTACGGGAAAAAATAGTTTATATTAGAATTAATGTCAGTTTTTTTTTTATGTGAAACTGTATGTGCAATACAGTTTTTATCAAAATCATTACTTATTCAGATGTTTTCGCGCTAGTAAAAGTGAAAGTACTATAGTAACGTATACTTTTATTATTAACAATCAACATATCTTAGACACGCTTACACTCTGTGTAAGTGTCTAAAAACTTTAATCAAAATATTATTTGAATGTTTTTTACTTGACAAGGCGTTGATTTAATTCGTTTGGTGTAGGTTACATAGTTATGTCAATATATCTATTCAAACATTAATTACAAAACAACTGAATGATTGAGTCAGTTCATTATAATATAAAATATGAAAACAAATGAGAAGCTAACTTTGGTCCCACACGATCATATATGTATGTAACAAGGTTATGACTATTTGTAACAGCTACATAGTTTATTGATATTACAAATTTAAAGAGTAGGTGAAAGAAGCTTAAATTATTTTTAAAAAATCGTTAAGAGGTAGATTGTAATTTCAAGAACCGTATTACCTAGAACTGAAAGTTTAAACTAAACTTACTCGTTCAAGACAAACAGTTAAGTGAATGCGTAGACTAGAGGCAAATTACAAGTAGCACGCAGGGCTTACACTTATTTATTATGTATGCACAAGTTGCGATTAGTAAGATACGTACAAAACTACCTACGTTAGAGACATACGATTGTCAGTCTTGGGATCAGTCCTCGATTACGGTCACATCTTGTAACTATAGTTTAAAGTATTTTCGTACTAATGCACCGCAATTAAAGCAATCGTCCGAACACTGGGCATTGCCGCGTCGGCGAAGGTTGGCTACCAGTTCAAAAGTGTACGTCCCTGACGTCGGTGGGTGTAGCGGCGTTACTGTGCGCCTTGTCCTGCGGTGGCGGCGTCCAGCCCGCCGCCTCTCGCGTCGGCCCGTTTGGGACAGCCGCGGAGCGCTCTGCCATCAACACCTGCACCATCTCCTCTATCTGTTCAAGGCATGTTTGCAGGCATTCCTACAATAATAAGAAACAAAAAACACATTAGGAATCATCGCTTTAAATTCAAGGAACAAAAGCTGCTACTACTATTGCTCCCGCGAGTGGTTATTACTCGTTATCAGAACAGCGCAAAAATGAAACATACACAACACATATGTGCTAATACACACTTTCGATACATTTTTCTAGATGTCATTCCGAATCGAATGACAGCTCATATTTTTAGGAGCTTTATCAAGAATTAACACGTTTTTGAACTTGTTGACTAGCCTATATATGTATTAGAATCCACTGTCATGACAGTGACACACAGTCGCAAAGTCTAAAAGAAGCTACCATGGATGTAAATATATTTAGAGCGTATTTACCAAATCAATGCCCGTGAGTTCGTGCAAACGCGGCAGATGTCCGTCGAGGCCGAGGCCCCTGAGCGCCGCCGCGATGCTGCATGATGCCAGTGTACTCGCCGAGTATAACGTAAACTCGTAATCTGCAACAATCCAGACATCGTCTTGTAATTTGGTCTTTTTAAATTACTACTTTAAAACTATTTAAAATACTGGTCATTTCACCAGTTGCCTAAAGTTCTGAGACCAATTAAAAAATGTTTTATCAGGGATTTAATGTTAACATTTTAAACAAAAATGACAGCTTGTTTAAAAAGTAGTAATAACCGGGTACATAGTTCCTCTAACATCTCGAAGGTTAGGATTCCTGGCGAAATAAAGCGAGGCGCATTAGCTTTTCATGTATGGCGATGTTCTTAGACGGAGTGTATAGCATATCCCGTGTAGAGCATCAAGGAGTGAAGCATATCTGCCAAAGGAAATGTTCCTTTCTCACTCTTGCAGGTTGTCAGTCTCCTCTGGAGAGTGTATCGTCAAAGGAGCCGGCACCCGCCCTCGCGGCCGCATTCCACAGGCTGCGCTCGCTCGCCGAACTCACTTGAATATTTCTCACGGACATACTTTGGCAAAACCATTATAGCAACATACATCATGTATGTGCACATACACGTAGGTTGTAAGCCGATATCAGGACGACTGGATGTTTTGTATTAATAAATACCTATTGACACAAACGAGGATATCTGCAGGAAAACGATACAACAAATAGGTTTTTAGGTAGGTATACTTTACTAAAAACGAATCCCGACAAACAAGTAAGTTATAATTCATATAAACTAACTATTAAAGTAAGCGCAAAATGTGGTTCGTAATGTTAATATACATTTTTCTCAAGTTATTTTACTACATTCATGGTACCCGTAATGTTTTACATAATTTACAATGCCGCTATACAATAACACGTACCTACAGGTCTATTTTCTTAAATAATGAATGAGTTTTCTCATTAACTAGAAGAAGGAATGTTCAAGATAGTAGTCTTCTGATTATAATGTGTATTAAGTGATTTTATATTTAGTAATGCTTCATACAATCTGCTGCTTGCTTCATACCTCGCTGTTTTGCTCAACTTTAAGACATAGTTATGGCTATTGGTTTTTATAAAATATTGCGTGAAATTATAAAGTATAAGTATAAAATTTATAGAAATAGGCCATTTAATGCTTTCTTTATCAAATCGGACGGTTAAAACATGAGAATTACGCGAATAATTTTAACTATTCGGCTCTAGTAAATGCAGTTTCTCCAATTTATACTATGAGAAGGGAATTAGTAATATTTTGCTCTTTTGTGTAAAGTAAATTGTTATTGCCATACTAGCTTATTTCAAATATTCACATCAGCAATTATTTACTGCGACAATACGTACTATTGTATATTTTCTGTTCTTATTTAGTTCAGCACCCATAGTTACCTTACTGAGATTAAAACAGGAAAATCAATCCCTTACATAGTTCATACATATAATGTTCTCTATATACATCCTGTTTAATTGTTTACAATTATCCTAATTCGATAAAGGTTTGAAAATACATTTCTATTAATGAATAATGTTCCCACGCCATCACAAGTACAAGATAAGGACCTCCGCTTGTAATCGTTAAATGCCCATAACTTGAAAATGCTAACAATAATTGAGGCCTCCGAAGGCTCTTCATTCATCATTACGTAGACTGTATTATACCAACCAACGTAAGGATATCGAACACTCAGCTCATTTAAAAGATTTATTTTCATTTTTTATTTGCATGTCGGCATAAAGGGGAACGGGCAAAGGGAACTTATAAAAAGAAGAGATGAAACAACGAAAGCGGCCGCTCACTCGAGGCATTTGCATAATCTGATGTTAATCAAATAGCGTAGTCCTCCGTGCGCCTCGGCCGAGTCTGCTCGCTGACTGCTTAGTACCGACTACCAGCTCTTTGTCACGAGCTGCAATCTACATGACAACCAGACTGACGATTTCTACACAATAGGTAACTAGTCTACCTTGGCACAGAACTGCCGTGTTGGACGCACACGTAGCGGAAGTGGGGAGTATCTTTATTAATCGTGATGCGACTTGATCGCTAGTACTAATGTCTAATTAATGTACACTTTCAGAGGAAGCGACAGTGTCGGCCCCACTGTACTTGTGTCTGTGTATATTATTAGAATGCGTTTGCTTTGATTGCGTTATTTCATTCTGTATATTATCATTATCATTTCTTACCCCGTGGTATCCATCAGTGGCAACTGTAACGATCATATTATTATTGCCCTTGAACGTTTGGGTAGAAAAAATTGCGTAATAGATGTCGGGTATACGCAAGGTGAATGATCGTACAAGGTCAACTCGCAAACTAGCAACAATTAACAAGAAGTAAAATTGACTACAATTTCATTTATTTATAATATAAATAAATAAAATTGTCAATTTTATCTATTTACTTAATCGGAAAATTCAGTTCCTAGGCGGTGAACATGACAGCTTTACCGTGGGTATTTTTTTAACGCAACCGTATGAGTCAAGCAAGCCCCTAAACTGATGTTCACCATCACCGGCATCTAACTAAATAACTTTCCCACAATAAGCCGGACGCGACGTAAAAATCCCTCTACTGGGATTGTTAGAAATTATTGAACCATGAAATTGTTAACATTGTTTATAAATTGTGTAGCATATTTTAGATGTTTTAACAACTGGTTTATACTTTTTTACTTAATTAAACTAATCTAAAGGCACTACAAGTATTTTAGTGTTACCAGTACATGCACCATTCAAATGCTTCATCAAAACCCACCGGAACAAATAGCTTGACGGCGCTGCGCCCGCGCAACCGTCATAATGTGAAAGAATACGTTGCGACGCAGATAGATAAGATACCTGTCTCACGCAACATAGGTTGGCGTCACACACATCGTGCTATACTCATGTGAAAAACTTTACCATTGCTATTAGTTCACATACCTATATTAAACTACTTGAGAAAGACAAACTATTTAGAAAAATGGGCAATAACTTGTCATCATCACTAACTCAAGTGAAACGCAAGATGTCAGTATTAAAATAATGCATTACAAATTTTATAACCCGTCGAGCTATGATTCCAGAGGAAATTATGCCATTTAAATAATGATACATAATGCGGGTTCGCTCGATACCGCGAAACGTATGTCTACGCCAGTATATCGCGGTATCGCTAAAGGCAATCGTACATAGTTCCAGGATGAAGAAAAGAAACCTTTGTGTTCTAACAGAATATTGTAGTTATTTTATATAAATGTTAAACAAATTTTGACACTAAAGAGATTCTGGACCTAGTGAGAGCCGATATCTGAGAACAGAGTGAAATAAAAGAGCTGGAGCGTGAACTTCTTGAACAAAAAACAATACGACAGCGGCGGCGAACAACAAAAACCGTTGCACAAAAACATATGATCCCATGAGGGTAGGGGGGAGGTGAGGTGCGGTGGACGGGGCGCGAGGGGGGAGTCCCGAGGCGTGCTGGAATGCGCTCGGGCGAGCGGCGTGGGAGGCGGCGCAGGACACACACACCGCCCTCGCCCGCTCTCTACCCTCACTGTAAACAAACCTATTCACATCTCACATAGCCCTCTACTGGTTTCTTGAGGATAACCATCTTTTCCACTAATAAATTGACTTACACCGTAACCTAGGATTAACCACAGGATACGATTACATAATAAAGATGACCTTCGCTATGTACTTTTTTTTGATGCTGCTACAATATTCATATATATTTCCATATCCTTGCTGTTTACGATGTTATTTAGAAATTAACTATTTATTGATATTATGTAAAAGTTTATCAAATCAAATATGCATTACAGATCATATGTGACACTTGATTTCGTGACGAACTTTTCCGATAAAATAACTTATAGAATGTTAACAGTGAAAGGTTCAGTGACATACGGGTCTAGCAGACCAACGGATCGCGAACGGAACAACGACGGTGTCGTGACATGACGTGATTTCAAGATGCTAATTACCGTCTGCGGTCTAGGAAAAAACTTTAATTCTTATTTAAGATACTATACTAAGATAGTTTACTAGGTATCTATATGACATACATAACCTATTATTTTCATTAAAATTACAAGCCGTTTGTCTGTGTGATCGACTTACTTCATCGTAATTTGATGATGACATTTAGTACCTAAATAAACACTGCACAAAGCTCACTTTGGCTCAGATATTTGTATGACGTGTATTATTTGTGTGACCTTTTGTCGAAAGTCTTGATACGGGCTGAATACAAGGGCAACTATCAGCTGACATCATACCTATTCAGGATAATAATATATTTAGTTGGAGGTATCTAAGTGATGCTTACCTCTGGCGGCGAGTGCTATAAAGGTTTGCGCGTGCCTGTGAACCATGTCGGTGTTGACGCGACCTCGCAGCGGCAGCCGCGACAGCAACAGCGGCAGAAAGTCGTGCGCTGTCACTCCGGCCACGTCCCACTTTAACTTGGATAACACCAATAACTCCCAGCTCTGTTGACAATGGCAACATAATTACAGAATAAAAAACAGTGGTAAGTCAGAATAATAAAATAGCATTCCTGTCGCCACATCCGCCTTATAATCAGAAACACTGAGTTTCGCTCGACTTCCCGGAACGGCGCGTAGGTAGTCCCCAGTACATTGTTGTGCAATTAAAATGAACATTGTTACAATATAGTTCATGTTTTGTTTAGTCTTATTCGAACATAATTACCTAAGTGAACGCTTTCGTCAACTTCTTGATTTAAATATAAAATATTTTAGACATTATTCAAGCAGGACAAAGAACATTTAGAGAGTTCTTACGTAAAAAGCTAAAATAATAGAAGCTTGTATATATTTAATCCAAACAAACGTTGTAGAATAATAGGTTATGCTACAACATATGTTTTAATAGGGTAATTCAAATTAGTAATTAGCGTAATTTAATGCAATAAATAAGTTTTTAAAATTTTATAATAAGTCAGGTGAGTAAAAAAGTTGAAGTAGGTATTTAAAGAACTTACTTAATGAAAAGCAACAAGTATGTTGAATTTATCATCTTTATCTTTTATGAACTAACAGATGACCTAGTTAATAACCACATTGAACTTATAACTATGAACACCGAGCCCAATATTTGTGAAGGGTTGGCTCTAACAGTTAACTCGAAATCATCCGGCCGTGTATCGTATTTTTAGTACGTCACTGTACCAGTAATAGGGCAGAATATTTTAACGGTCGTCATTCATGAATAAAGTTGATTATTGAGTATACATATACACTCCTACATACACGACTTGCATGTCCGTTGACAGATAATACTCGATGTTTACTTAACTCAATCGGCGGGGTCGACCACGGTTACGGGCCGCTGTTTCTCTTCTCCCAAACGATTATAGTTCTCATCGCGATGATGTTAGAGTGCTCATTTGTCCATCGAGAGATAGAGTTAGGGCATATAGATTCTTCGCACACCATGTTTATGAATGAATGAAGTATCATCACTGGATGTCGAATTAAATCAGTGTTGTGTATGTGTGTGTATGAATGTGGGCATTACAATGTTATTATCGATTTTAATATGTTATTTATTATTATAATATTATTATAAATAAATTAATATTACAATTTTATCTGTAAAGGCCTGGTTCAGAAGCTACAAAGGTAGGGTATATTAAGATTATTTAAAACGCGACGGTATGCGGGCCGACCGCACGGCACAATGAAAATATTTTCTTTGACCGCTTTGACGTACATCTCGCTACTGGTTAAGCCTCCTTTAAAACAATGCATTCATAAAATATTCACCACAAATAACACTTGCTTTCGGCGTATCCGCTAAACGTAAATATAAAATAGCCAGAAGCGTATGACTTTTATTGTCCGATAGTAATGCCGCCCCTATCAGCTGATTTTATATTATATCTTAACGATTTGTGCATGTGGACACCCACATGCACAAATGCGTCTATATCATACGCGAACAGAACAGTCACACATGTATAGTCGGTCCACCCGAGACGGATGGAATGCAGCTCGTAAACTTACAGGCGAGGTTTCATTAGAGTGGAGGAGACCGGGCAGCGGGTGCGCCGGCCACAGCAGTTATCGAACCACGTTACAGCCAATAAAGCGAGCTATGCAAACAGCCCTCGTTGCTCGCAACACAGTCGCTGAATTCCATAGTGAGTTCCCATGCTTTATCCAATTTCATCGAACGGTGTGACTGCGCCGCTATTAGAATCAAACAATGAGCTCGGTGTCGCGTGGCCACTAAGCTCATGAGACTAAACCTCGGAATTTTCCAGATGCGGATGCCAACACAGAAAGTACAACTAGTTATTAAAAGGTATAATGTACCAACTTAGTACTGGGAATAGTATAGGCGATGGAAGGGACTTAAAACCTTTAACAATAAATATCTCTTTCTCGTTTTAGGAAATGTGTTATGTATCATTTGATTTCACAGTGGAACAGTATTAAGCGATCTTTTTTGTTAATCAGGTTAAGTTTTAATTTTATACGATATTAGTTTTCTTATGTAGTATATGAAAGCCACGATGTGGAGAATCATAAATTGGTTGCAGTCGGGTGCATACAGCAATGACAAAACGACAAAGGATTATGAAAGTGGCTGTCTTTTCTTTCGGATACGATATTGGTGATTATGCTGTCTATGCCTGCAGTCAATGAACGCTTTTACACTGAGACCATTGTGAGCCACAGGTTGAAGACTACAATTGCCTAAACTTTAGGTATCTATCTACAAGGTTTAATGAACTCAGGTAACTTCTAACTCGCCTGTATGAACCGTGAAATCTACGCACATGCGAGTCCGAGTGTGGGCAAAGTCAGATATGCTGGTACATATAATATGTATAATTTTAAAGACTAATTGTTTTAGCGTTCGTCATCGATGAAAACCATAGTGAGTGCAGTATTGAATACAAAATTTGCTGTGAGCGGATGAAACGTGTTAGGCATGTACGATATCGCAATTCTTACGTAAGTAATTTAAGCATCAGCGCATTCCTGTAAAATGATTATACAGACCGTAAGGTACTAGTTACAATTATTCCTTGTGATAATCGAGTATAGATTAATCTATGAAGCTGAAGATAATATAGCGTATCTGAACAATTTATTATAGATTTATGACAACTAGAATACCTAGATGAGAAACTACACTTACAAACTCGAAACCGCGTGGTTATTAATCCAATTCTCTTAATAGACATTAAATGAATGCGACCGGTACTAATGTAACCCGACTGCTACTAAAAATACTAATATATTTAGTCGGCTTAATAGGCAAATGATACAGACAGAGCAAATATGATTGCTCATTACACAATTACTTGTCCGGAGTGGGAATCGATCCAACTTCTTCTGTCACAACTATCATTTTTTTAGATCAGACAACTCAATGATAGTATCGCTATGCAACCGCGCGCTAACCTAACCACAAAATTTCCATTTTTTTTCTTCTCACAGCCAGCGCCCGCATAGGACGACTTGTTCAACAAGTACCCATTCGACTTTTATTACCGTTGAATATACTTTTTAGTATCGAATTTATGAAGAAAATTGCAAAATTATGACTCAAATTGGATTTATAAGGTAAGAACGTTTGAGATGACCACTTTTACTGAGCCGTATACATTGTTATTAAAATTGCCGTTTATGAACAGCGGGCTCCATGACGATAACAGGTGTGATAAAGTCGGAATAGCTCAGTGCAAGTACAAGTCATAGCTGTAATATTATGAAGCCAGCTGACACAATTTAGAAACAAGCCCGTAGCGTGGCACCTACACAAGGTGTGTAGGTGCCACTTGTGCGCAGTGAGGTTATCGCTCACATGCGCTCGTTAACACAATTTCTGTTCTACACATGAAGTGTCATTACATTTTGTATAAAAATAGGTCGTAGTACCATTGAACGTTTCGCACAATTATGTTAGTATCACAAAATAAATTCGGCAAAGTAATTAGTATGAGAAGATTTTATATAATAGCTGGTCAAACTGCAATACGACCAGCTGTTATATAATCGGCAGCAATATAATCGTATAGTTCGTTAGAAACTGAAAACAACAAGTTTATTTAAAAGTAATCATTGTAAGTTCAAAATGTTTCGTATAATTTATTTTTCCATAAGCGGGTCTGTATTTTCTAGATTGAACTGTAGAAACAGTCGTCATTTTAAAATGCATAGAAAGCAAAATAATAGTTCTAACAGATGAGACAGATAATTGTTAAGACAACAATACCTAATGATCATATTTTAAGGAGTTTCTCTAATCTATGTTAACATATATCTATGATAAATGTTCGTACGTAAGCCTTATACTTGGTCTTATTTTAGCGAATTCTTGGAAAGCCAATACAACGGGTTTTCAATTACCAGTCGTAGTGACATAGAAACAGTATGTGTGATTATGTCTGTTTTATTACAAGCGCTGTAGTGTCTGTGCATGTGGCATGTGGTAATACATGGACCTTATTGCACACATGTACTCGTTCCGTTTTGTCGCATTAAGTTCGCAGGGAAGTTTCATTTACACCGGATACTACCAGGGCCGCGCCGTGAGATCGACAAACAACTGTTCGCTCCGTGCTAATTTTCCCATTTCTTATATTCTAAACGATCATATCCTTTAGTATTATGGCATTCCAGGATTTATCCTTGAACCTTTACCTATAACTTTGTTTCTTGTTTTTTTAACGTATATTTAAAACACGACATCATGAAACGTGTTCAATACTACTCTGTTTTACTAATAAATATTATAATACGACGTCAAGTGCACCTTTACCTGAGCTAAATAATGATCGCTATTCACACACAGCTGACATCAAGGTGACCCTAAACGATGTTAATTTCTTTCTTCTTTATAGCAAAAACCCACACAACCAAAGGACGTCTACGTCTTTCCTATAGAATTTTACGGCGTATTCATAAATCAATTACGATATTTCAAGCTATCAATATACTTCTAGGTTTTTTATAGATAAAAATATAATTCAAATGGAATCAATTATCTAATGAATATAGGTTTATAATAAAGTATATAATCAACCTTATTAAGGTAATTTTTTTACCGTAAACGTAATATTGAATAGTCTTTTGACAAACTGGCACCGCGGTCGTAAACTTATGCTTCAATTATAATAAACATTTACAGTGGTAGCGTGGATGTGAGAACTTGCCAGGTTTTATGGTCGGGCGGCGAGAGCGACCGCGAGAACCCCGCATTAAAGCCGCTTCGGATGCCAGAACGTGCTCTTTTTGCTCGAGCTCGTTGCGCCCGCGCCTCGCCTGCGCTCAAGAAACCTAAACGATTGTTGGTTCAATCAACTCGTTCTACAAATCTTCACGATTAAGTACTTGCAAGAAATTATCGGTGAAAAAGAGCACATTCAGAGATGGTAGTAATAGGTATATCTAGCAGAGCTTTTATCGAACATGCTCATGTTAGATAGGCACATTAATTGAAATAAAAATATAAATCTATTAGGTTAGTAGTAATATTGTCTATTCGCTACAGTAGTAGTTATGAGATGAGCATATTTTTAATATTAAATGTACTTGCTTTGTAGAGATACCGTTATGATAAAATGCTAAAGATTTCCACTACCTGATAAGTAATTGATTAGTAAATTTATAATCGGTTGTTTTTCTTTATCGTCATTAAAATTACATAAAAATGCAATATCTAACCAAATGGCTACCTACATCTACGATTATTCGTAGAGCCTCTACGACAGCGCTACGATGCTCATATCACCTGCATGTTTGAAATGCGTCTTACTTAACTAAATACATTAACTGACACAAGACATTAAAGATAAGCCACAACTACATTTAAATAACATCAAGAATTAAAAAATCTACATTTTTAGTTCAAAATACTTTCTTCCATTCAAGGTAATGTTGCAAAAACGTATTGGGAATTCGTAATTATCGGTATGTGAATGCATCATAACATTTTATCTTCGAATAATCAAGAAATTTATTAATGTTGGATAAAAAATATTAAGATATAAGACGATTTGTTCAAAAATAATGGTGATATTGTAATCAATAATGTTAGGAATGGCATTAACAGAGACCGTGACTCAGTGGATTACTATAACATGTGCCCACCTATACATACATATATTACAGATGAACATTTGCGGAAGCTCACGACCAACATGTAAAAAACTCAAACGTGAAAAATTTAAAATACCTAGTCAATTTAGTGACGTGTTGTCGATTCGTCAGTTTCAAGAGATGAGGTTAGGTTAGCGCGATCGAGTCGCGAGCGGCGCGTGAGAAAAAATAAGCCACATTCTTAGCCTATAATTGGTCTGATTGAAACGCGAACCTCGTTTGGCAGTTCTTCCGAGAAGTCCGTCGGCTCGTTAGGGGACACTGTCCGCAGGACAGCCCTCTCTCAGACCACGACATGCCGCATTCCTCGACCACTGCTCGCGATAAGTATGTACAGTGTCTGTACGTATAATTACAATAATTTTGTACAAGTATTTAACTGAAGCCTAATTTAAACCAAATCTCGCTTCGCATTAAAGTAAAACAGTTTACATATGAATATGTCGATAATTAATAGTTAGCTGTAAAGTAGCCGTTACTAGAGCCTTACAAAGTGCATGTAAAGCGAGCGGAATGCACTTGCATCGCAGGCAGAACGAGTCGAGTAGGTATAATATGACGCGCGAAAATGTGGCGTGCACTTATTATCTACGGGACGAACGGCGACAGACGGGGCCCCGGCGGGTGGCCGCGCCTCGCCCGAAATGCAACCGACACAAAGTTAACACGTATTATGTTGTATTAAATGCAAATACCTACCTACGCGCTAAACAATACCTAACGTTCTGGGGATCTGCCCAAAGTCAATCGCTCATACATTTACTATACGTTTTGTAAATGTGAAATGAATTTAATAACGGATGAGGAAAACGTTAAAACCAATGACTTTGAAGTGAAGAAAGTTATCCACGTGACTACAAATCTAAATGTAATAGCGCATTACAGTTATGAGTTATGAGTTAATATTCGTAGCTGACAACGGAGCCGTTTTCAATGACATAAATCATTGGACAATGTCGATAGAAAATGTATGATAAGTAACAAAATAACAACAACAGGAACTGAATGTTTTCTGCTACAATATTATTTTATAAACGGTACATTGGATTTTTAAACACTGTAAAACACCATAATTTTGAAAAAAGTTTTAAATAATAATGGACTTCTTAGGATGTCTTAGTGTAATTGTTTTATAAGAACTTTAATGTTATAAGTGGTTAGCAACATAAAACCAATTAGTATATCAGCATATATGACAAGGTTACAACAACCACAAAACACAAGGAAATAATACTCACAATATCATAGTTGATTTGTAGTAAATTGTATGCCAATGCAATTCGTACTTGAACCATATTTATTCTGATTTTAGAGTATGCTATTTATAAGAGACCAGTTATTTATATCTGTTCTTTCTTTTAGTCACTGTGCTCAAGAATATTACACACCAGACTCTATATTTTTAATCTATTAGTCACTTCGCACAGAACATTCTCAATACGTAAAATTTAATGTTGTATAAAAATCACATCATAATAAACGCACTGTAGCAACTAGATTTGATAACTTCATATATATAATTAATGTGCCGTCATAAAACTGGTATTCCAATCTCTCGCGGATGATTTAGAAATCAGCGCAGCGGAGTGAACGACATGAAAGCACCTAGAGCTAACTGCTAAATTGGTGCATGCGCAACAATATAAAAACCTCCGCACGGAACTGCATGACTAATGAGATCAGCTGTTACTTGAGACGAGGAAAGTTAATTAAATCTTCATATTACTTCATGTACCTTGCAGTTCCTATAAACCAGTATATATTAAGTGTGCTATTTCATGTACATGCTATGTACTTAGTAACGGTTACGTTAGAGGTATATCGACATAAATATCCATGAGACATACGCAAATATAATGAATTTAAGTTCAATTTTGAGTATCGATAGTAGTGTTAGGTACTTACGCAGAGATCGGTGAGTGTGATGCTGTTGGCTGTGTAGAAGACGAGAAGTTCGGCGGGCAGAGCACGGGAGCCTGGTTCACGAAGCTTGGATGCCAGCAGCAGGCACGCAGTGCCCAGCAGCTGCACTTGGCTTTTGCTTACAGCGCACGTGCTCAAAAAGCGATCCAGATATGAAATTGCCAATGGAAACACTTCTTCTTGACACCCTTGGTCTTCACATAACTGAAATATAAATCTAGAATTAGGTGCGTTCTCCAGCGAACAATCGGTTTTGTTTCTTAGAAAATACTGGTAAGTTAGTGTTGATATTGCCGCACCCAACCCAACGCTTAGTTTATCATCCGGAATTCCTGATAACCTATTTATAAAATGGAAATACACATCTATCGCGCTAAATACAGAGCGCTTTACTTTCCTGCAGTTCTACGTCGCTTATCAGTGCCAGTAATGGTACCCGATTGTACCAGCCTCGCATGTCATACTTTTATGCTTAACTCTAATCAAAAGCTAATCTTTTATTTTGAATAGATTAATTAGCGTACTAGGCGTTTTATACATAGACATTTTACGGTCCCAAATATACTGTTGTAAAGACCATCTTCTATCTACTCATTTTTTTTGTAAAATGAAATGCAAGAAAAGTGGAAGGAGATAGATAATTCAGGAGTCATAATGAATGTGATGTATCATGTTGTAGTGTCACGAGAGATGCTGATTGCCGTAGATGGACCGACATAGTTTCGCACGGTGTAATGCAACTCGCGAAGCGGTATGGATCCAATCGTGGCACTATGTGAACGACTGGGAAAACAAAACATGTACTCTAAACCTTATCGTCACACACCGTTCTGCAAGCCGTTTTACGCTCCACGTCACCTGAAGATAATTAACTACCTTATCCGACTTTAGACTATAGTACTTTAGACTAATAAACGACAACATGTAAACGACTAAATAAAAACTATAAAAGAAATTTTACAAATTTAGTGGCCCGTAAGCCCGCTCTTTACATTTGTAATTGTCGAAGCGTAACGTGAGAGGATCTAATGAATGGTGCAAGCGGCTATAAAACAAAGCGATTAACATTATAGGTACCTATTGCCAGTTTGCTATATTATTAAGAACAGCGCACGACTTTTACTTGGTTATCCTATATATGTAGTTTCACACAAGTTTATATTTGTTATGAGGCTAAATACGTCTTCTGAGTAAAGTATTGATTAAGGCTTATATTTCGATATAGAAAGAAACAGTATATATCTACTCTTTCAAAGACAATTCACGATCATGTATATCATGATCATATCGTGCAATATCTTTGAACGAAGATGTGCTTTTTGATTGACGCGCTTGACGATTTAACATTAAAGTTTATGTGAACACATCTGAGATGTCAATGACCCGTCCGACTTAGATAATCGTTTCGGTCTGCTTGTGCTGAAATGTCGGTATGCGACTACTTTAAGTGTAGCCACGAGGTGAACGGATATGTCGGCGCACTGCGGACCTTGCGCATTAGTCGCTGAGGGAGCATGTGGTGACGTCACTGGGCGAGCAGCGCAGGCGCACCGGCCGGCTCCACGTGGCGACAGAACCACTCACTACACCGTCTGAACTTTATTTCGAAAACTACTACTGTAATGTATCTAACATCTGATTTCTGTTATCACTACAAAACATTTTTAAAATGTTAGCTTGCCAATGCGTTATGAATACAAAACGAATAGAATTACACGTCATTTGGGTCATTGAGTTGGAATAATGACATTCCTGTGAGCGCTAGTAATTATTGGTGTATATAGAAGCAAAAGATAAGTGCGCAGTGGAGCGTCAGCTGTGTGCGTGTCAAAATCAGCTGATTATTCAAATAGAACGAGCAGCGTCGCATCGGTCGGCGACCGCGGCCGTTCGCGCGCCACGTCCGGGGCCCCTCGCACTTCGCACGCTCCACAACCAGTTACTTACTGAAATAGGCACGATCAGTACACGCTCAATGCTTCCACACCTTTAAGTATTCTATATTATTAAATATAACTTTCAATAAAACACTTAATGTCCTATTTTTCGAGTTATTTACAACGAGTGACTAGTTACGCATTGTATTATTCTTACAAGATTCTAACATGTGGATCGAAATCGCAATCAGCTGATCGTGTAAACAAAGTCATATCATTCAATTTAGAAATAGCTACATAATCGATTTAGAAGTTTTTATGACCACCGACCTGTAACAACACAAATGCAGCACTCCACTATCCATACGTAAGGAACAGACCCGGGAAGGTAGGTTGGGGGCCTAATCGATCACAGTACTACCGAACATGGTGTCCATCGAGCGAGCAGTGGCTGGGGCATACGGGGCCACTGCTGCCATCGGTGACGGCAGGAGTAAGCTACACGTGGCCGGAAAACGAGACAAAATGGCGAACGTTCGGGTTGCGCGGTCCGCGGATGGAGCGCGAGCGGCGAGCGGTGTGGGTGCGGCATGCGGCGCGGGTGCGCTCACCTCTAGCATCCACTCGGCGACGATGCGACGCATGTTCGGAGTAATCTCGGTCTGCACGGTGCCAAAGTAATTGGCGGTGACGGCGTAGCGCTCCTCGGTGCGCAGCAAGTTGTCAAGCACGCGGCGGCGCAGCAGCACCGGGTCCGGCGCGGCCGCACGGGGCGCCGGCGCCGGACGCGCCGTACCCTCGCTGCTCCCCGGACTCACGCGCTCCGCGCACAGAAGCTCCATGTTACACCGCACTGCGGCTTATTGACAGCTCGCTTCGCGGCCGGTGGCGTATTGTGATGAGACAGCTGATCGTGGCGAGCGGCCGGCGTAAGTGTGTAATGCGCGGTGTGATGCGACGACGGCGAGTGCCCAAGTCGCAGTGAGCAGCCGGTGTGCGCCTCGCCGCCGAACATATGATCGGCGCGGTGCGGGGGCAGGGCGGTGCCCGTGAGGCCCGCACGCAGGTTTCTCCCATTCGACGTTCAAATAATAATACATAACATGTTTCCTACTCGCTCTCGCTCTGAAGTAGGTACTTCTCACTCAGTCTCAATTCTTGCTTCTCATTCTAGTACTACCTACTTACAAAATAAGATGAATTCCACGATTTGAATACTTAAAAATAAATAGTAGAATATATGGGCGCTCGAGTTATCTGGTGTTTTTGATGAAATTCCTCAAAGGTTTGATAATAATGAATATCTGGGTGTTAAATAGTTACTTAATGCGCTGATAGAGCTAATCAACGCATCAATGTCGGTCGGGCGGTTGCGGCCACTGAACTTTACGTTACTCCTAGCCTAGGTTAGTTATAGTAGAAATATGTCTTTTTGTTTTATCTAAAACAGATACCTACACAATGTAATGTGTAAACTGTAAAGCCATCTAAGCGCTTTCATCTCTCTGTCGTTATAGCGTATGTGATGTACCTCCAAATGCATATACCTATACAAACATATACCTATATACAAACATATTATGTAGGTATATAGTTCATGGAGATTAACTTTTAAAACTGTGTGTAACCTACTTTATTATTATGTATTCGGTTCTAAATTATTCTATTAATCCAAATTATTATTAAATTCCTACCTACCGCTCTATTTGTTTATAATATAATTAAATAAGTACCTATTTAATATCCCTAAGTCATTGCCTCAAAGTTAAAAGCTTAATGTAAGAAATTCTCTTAAAATATACCTATCCAAATAAAATCTGATGTACCTACCTACCTACCTACCTACCTACCTAATAGTACCAGTAGGTATAATAGCTAGATATTTAAAATGTACCTACCTATAGTGACATGGGAACATTCGTCTACATTTCATCATTTAAGCGTTTTTTAAAGTTTTGATATTTTACTTAGAACAATAATTAAATAAGAAGCTACTCTTTACTTTAAGTTTAAAACTCCTATTTACTTTTAAAATTATATGATTTACATGATTAATTAAAGGTAAGTAGTAGGTATTTGTTATTTAATACTGTAGTACTCAATGATTTTATAAGTTAAAATATAATTTGTAGTACGCAAGGTTACCTAAACAGTGATTAAAAAAAGGAGTATCTAGCTTTAGGTACAGTTTACTCGGTATTGAAAAAGAAGTTCTTTTAATCGTGAACTCAATATTTTTTACCTTAGAGTACCTTTTTCCCACAGAATTGAGAATATCTTTGAAAATGCTATGTGAGCGGGGATTGCATATTGAAATAATGTGCTATTAAAATAATAATTATATGTAGTATAGGTACGGAGTAGCGCGACAACTTCCCGTCGAAAAAGAAGTGAGGACTCTAGTATGATTAAAGGAATCATTTTATTGGTAAATCTAAAACTTTGTTTTCAAATGATAAACAAGATAGATGATTTGGATAGACAAGAATTATTATTATTTATAAAATCTACTGAATAGGTTATAGGTAACCTCAGTTGTTTTAATCATTGAGTATCATATTTGAGTTGTAACTGTATTGAAACATACGCGAGCAATGGACTTAAAAGGAATACACTTTGTACAAAAATATTTGGTAAACGTCAAGATGCAAGTATGCATAGGTACCTACGTTGTAATAGTACGAATCTGATAGCTCTCGATGGACGTACTTTTGTTACGGCATTCGGACATAACAGCTGGAGGGTACACATTAAAACTAATATACGCAATTAGTTTTAACGTGGAATACGAAAGTATGCCGTAGGATAATTATTATTAGTCAATTCATTTTATTTTTAACTAGCTGCTTCTACAGATTTTGCTCTGTCAAAAGTTAATGTTTTGTTTTGATTGTTTGTTTGATCAAATGTTTGACAGGTGTTTTAATTTTTCTCACTGGTTTGTATAGAAAAAGAAAAGTGTTGTTTTTATCTTTTTTTAACGTCTTTTCATAAGAACTTTGCTGCCTTAACGAAAATATGAAAAATAATATTTAACCAAATTGGTCGAGCCGTTCTCGAGGTTTGCGCTAAGCGACAAATTTGGCGATTCATTTTTATTTGTATAGCTATGTCCTCTGGGATAAACTTTAAGTTCTGTGTGTGTATAAAGTTATGATTATCGCCTAAGTGTATGAAAGTAGCAACAAGCCATTTGGAACAGAAGCTTTATTACAGTTGATGGTACTTCTAACTGACTAGTTTTATTTAGGCATAGGTATCTTGGAAATGTTTTCTTTCTAACCTTTTATAAAAGACAACGGTAAAAATTTCGAAATACGTCGCCATTATAAGGGGTTGTGAGTGGTTGGGGAGGGGGGGGGAAAGGGGCCGGATCCCCCCCTCATTTAGACGCAACTCCGGCAGCCAAAATTACTGTGGGGGGATTAAGACTAACTCCCTTAAGCCCCCTACACCACCAATACCCTCAAATTCAGGCGACTCGTTTTAAAATCCAACCCAAGACAACTCCCGGGTTGGATTTTAAAACGAGTCGCCTGAATTTGAGGGTATTGGTGGTGTAGGGGGCTTAAGGGAGTTAGTCTTAATCCCCCCACAGTAATTTTGGCTGCCGGAGTTGCGTCTAAATATTTTTAAACAATTTCCGAAAATTCTTAAATACTCTTGCAATTATGCAAAACGGAACGTAATTTTTTTGCTTTAGTATAGTTTTTCAAATGTAATTTTTAGGTTTTATGTGAAAAACGTGAAACGAAACGCATCTTGGATGGATGATATTGACAGCTAATGTCAAATTTGTGCGTCATTCCTTTGCTTTCGAGTATTATTATACTCGAATAGTGAATGTGTTCTTCCGTATCGATTTGTGTTTTTTCTACGACTTGGCTAAAATTTTGAAAGGTGCCTGGGCCGGGTCACCATATGTGACTGGTATAATTATTGCCGAGAAACCATTGTGGCATACCAAATTGACAAAAAAGAAGTAGTTGGAAAGATTGGTGGCCCCGGAAAAATAGTCCAGATCGATAAATCTATATTCGGTAAAAGAAAATACAATCGAGGTAATTATATTTTATATATTATTTCTTACAGGAAATGTATAAGAACAGGACATAATTCTTAGGTAATTAATAGCAATCTATTACTCCGAGTTGGCACAATCAGACTTCATTGGGTTAGGTTCGATGGCTAAGGCGGGAGCGCAGCGTAGCGAAGCTCCCGCCTTAGCCATCGTGGTTTTTTTTTTTTAAACCACCCAGAAATAGGAGCCCCGCGTAGCGGGGCTCCGTCGACTCATAATTCAAGCCAGTTTTTATATATATATTTATTTTTGTTATAGGTCGCCATATTGATGGCCAATGGGTTCTCGGTATGATTGAGGATGGATCTGAAGATCTGAGGTTGGAAGTGTGCCCAGACAATATTCGCTCTGCTGAGGTTTTGGTGCTACTTATATTGAAGAATGTGGAAGTTGGCACCACCATCCACACTGATTTTTGAGAGCATATGATTGCTTGCCAGAACATGGCTACATACACAAAAAAAGTCAACCACTCGGATCGTGACAACCCATTCATAGCTGAAGATGGGACTCATACTCAACGAATTGAGTCCCAGTGGAGGGCTGTTAAATTTTTTTTAGGAAGGACAATTTTAATAACACAGAAAATTTTGCAGCTGTTATTTTTGAATATTTGTGGCGCGAAATAACGTAAAATACAGGAAAGATCCATTCATGGAATTAATAAAAGCGATAAAACATGTTTATAAAGTGGAATAAAAAATTTTGTACAAATTTCTGTTTTATTTTTTCTAAGGGAACCAAGTATTTCCGGCGGGTGAAAATGGTGAGGGGGGGATCCGGCCCCTTTCCCCCCCCCTCCCCAACCACTCACAACCCCTTATAATGGCGACGTATTTCGAAATTTTTACCCAACTCCCGCATTAGGAATATATCCTGTGTCGCGGGCGACTTTACAAACATACATGAAACGGACACAGAGAACACCCAGACAGAACAACAATTTGTGGATCACACAAAGTGTCATTCCATTTGGGGATCGGACCCACAACACTCATCGTAGTAGTAAGCGGCGAGGTAACTGCTTAAACCACTATTGAAAACGTCTTCATAAAGGCACATTTTCAACAGAACACGACCTTTTTTCTGTTCACCTGATTGTGATAAAACAGGTAATAAAAGTGCGTAGGAGTTCTAATAGAATAGAATAAGTGGCCTTTTGCTTACCCTAGGTAGAGGTACTTACTGGCGCCTGATGTTGGTTAATGAATAATCACTAGTTTTAACATTAGGTAGTGATGATTTTAAAAACATAATTTTGTCTTTCATGTCCGGGGAATATAATATGACAGTAAAACTAACTAACTTTTAATCTATTTGTAAGTATAACGTTCCACTGTGACCACGATCAGTGCAAACTGGTCGAAACATCAGGCAATTCAAAGGCATGTACTTAATACCTATCTATAAGCGCGTTAATTCCCGTAAACATAATTAAATAAAACTTACATTATATTCTGCGCCATAGCTTGAAATTATTATGTTCTAGAGAAATTGTAAGTTACTAAGAAATATACCGTTAAGGGCAACTTGCACTTGCTCCAACTCATTACAATTGGTATTAAAAGGTTTTGTAAGTCCATGTTTTAGGCTTAAAGGATCCCAAAACAATGAGAATTGACAGTAAACCTCTCTCTTTTCTTAGTTTTGAAAGGTCTTCCGAGAAAAAGTCTTAAAGCCAACAGTAACCGTCGCTACCAATATAACAAAAAACTTAAGCAGTCACCAAAGCATTGAATCCATTGCAAGCTATAAGTTACC